AAAATAATTTCTGGACATTTCAAAGAAGTGTCGGACACGAGTGTCGATGTCCGACACTGATACAGGACCCCTGGAAAGAGTGTCCGTGCTTCACAGGCTTATAGTTATGACCAGTTAAAGTTCCTCTTCGAATTTGTGCTCCCATCTGGTCCAAGTTCTAATCCACAACTCAAACCACGTTGTTACTACAGGGAACAAAATCCTCTCCAGTTCGGGTTTTGTGTTGTATAATGGATTTAAAATTATACTTTTTTTTTTATTTTATAAGATGCTTCCCTAATTTAATGAAACCGGACCACTGTTGTACCGAAGAGGATTTTGGTCCATTACCACAATGCCGTGTGAGGCAAAAAATGGGCCCACATGGCTAATCAGACTCCATTTGGGCAACAATGAGAAGACAAGAGATTTGGATCTTTGAGAGTCAGCTTAGAATTCACACAAAGTTGCAGATGATCATTCCCACCATCATCTGTCCCACTCCCACCATTAAATAAAAAAAGGCCCCACTGCTCCCAGTCTTCACATCAATGGCACCTTCAACAGGGCTCTCCATGTCCACTCATTTAGTGCCTACTCACAATGTGCCCAAAAAGTGTACATATAGAGTCAATATAACAAAGTGTTTGTCTAGTGTATGACACACGACCTAATTTTTGACATTATTCGTAAAACTAGTCTAAGATTCAGATCCATGACAATATAATTCTTATCCAAAGTTTAACAAGCACGAAAACTTGAGTTCGATTAAGAAGTGTAACTAATACCAAGAGTTAGGTTTATATCTAATCTATTCTTTTGGTAAACACCCCGATAAATTTCCAAAGATTCAGGTAGGATGCCTTCTCACTCCGAATCGAGTAAATCGTTAAACATAATAACGGAAGCGTAGCCCAAGTAGTCATAAGCTTCTGGTGAGAATTGAATCACAGACTTGCTGATAGGAAGGTACCGAAGCTCAAAGAATTTTACCACTGTACTGTTAGTACTCGGTGGTAAATTATGAATTATTTTAAAAGACCCATACCACCATCATCTTTAAAAAAAATAAAAGAATGATAATGTTAAAAAAAAAAAAATAACATGGGTATGTTTTATGGAAAGTTGAAAAGGAAAGGAGCTAGGAGAATAAAGGACCACCAAAGCCACTATATGGGGGGATTAAGATAATACAAGAGCTGGTGGCATTCGTGTGGAATGCACACTCCTTCCCCATTTACTTAATTATATTATCTCCTTCGATCCCTTACCCTTTCTCTCTCCCTCGTCTAGTGCTATCCTCTTCACCAATCCAATTTTGGGCTTTCTTTTATTTGTTGTTCCATGGACCCAAAACCAATGAATCATCAACAAGTACATGCACTTCATAATGACCATGTTGACCAATAAAAATTGACTTGCACACAAAATGGATTGAAATTCTGAAGAGGAAATTATTTTCAGAGTTTATCCCCAATTAGTGGAAAGTTTTTAAATAAAAACTAAGATCTCAACAACTACGTACAGAATTATTAAATGGTAAACAAAGACTCACACCTCACGTCTAAACGGGAGTTAATTCTTGTCCAATAAAAGAAAAAAGACGATACATGCTCGATGGTTAATAATAGAGTGCTGACACCACAAAGCACACATACAAAACCCTAATACTTTGTTATGTTCATTATTATTGGTGCACTTTATATTAATAATAGGCCTAAAATGGTGGATCTTGGACCGTTGAACATTTTCTCTCTCTTTTAGTTATAGTGCTTAAATTTGTTAATATTACAAGTGGTAAACTTTGATTAATTGGTCAATGAATCTAAAGTTCCTTGACTTATTCTCTTTCTTAAAGTTGTGAGTGTATATATATATATATATATATATATATATATATATAATAAGCTTGTGTTATTGCTTCTAAAATAAGCTTACTAGCTTTAGGCTCATTAACTTAACATTGGCATAATTTGGTTGTCTTGTTACGTTTAAGGTAGGCTTGGTTCAAACCTATTATAGCTTTTATAAGAACTAGACAGGAGATGATCATAATGAGATTGTTCCGATCATGAAGATGGTATGACATAAAAGAGAAAATATTATGAAAATAATAGGATAGTATCAAATACTTTGGCTTCTATATTGCTTCTTTTCTCTCTCATACCTTTCCATAAACATCACTTCAATAGTTCAATACCTAGATATTAATATTATATATATATATATATATATATATATATATATATATATATACAGACTCTATAGCCACTATAATTATTTCTGAGAACTTTAACACGCCTCTTCACCCTAAGGTGCTCCGGGTATGTACCACGAGAATGTAGTATTTATTAGTTGAGAGTACTACATAAGTAAGTATCTCCAGTACGTATTTAATATTTTTCCCTCATTTAGAATTTGAGATATGTCATTTAAGCCAGAAACCTCAACTTGTATAAGGTGAGATCCACGGATCAAACTCCATGATTAGAAACTTGGATCGTCATTAGATTAGTAGCTATAAACAATAATTCTTATCTGCTATATATATATATATATAACTAGGAATTTACAAAGTTGATAAGATCATAATTTTCGAAAGAAAACGGATTGATGAATGCTAGCTAGCTATGTGATCGACATGGATTGGATTTATTTAAGATCATGTATTTGTCGTGAAGGAGTGATATGATTAGCTCTGTAAAGTTGCAAACATGGGGACAATTTAGTGGTTTAATTAAGCTTTATGGCATGCTGAACATCCATGCCATGAACGGGTGACGTATAAACTAAGAAACTGAAAGGCTTAAAAAACGCTTCTTCACTCTGCATGAATTTTGTCTATGTATATACATACAACATATTGTCATGCTTTAGTCGTGAAATCTTTCCACTCTGGTGTACCTGCCTTAAAGTTGACGATCTCTCTCTCTCTTTTTTCTTTTCTTTTCTTTTTTTTTTAAGTTGAAACTCTTCTTTCTGTCTTCTATTGGATAATACGACCAATATTTCACTACAAGACATTGTAGTTTTTATAAAAGGTTATTTAAAGCCACTTTTAACCGCGGACCCATACAACATATTGTAATGCTTTAGTCGTGAAATCTTTCCACTCTGGTGTACCTGCCTTAAAGTTGATGATCCGATCTTCTTTTTTTTTTTCTTTTTTTTTTTTTAAGTTGAAACCTTCTATGGGTTTTATACCAATATTTCACTACAAGACATTGTGGTTTTTATTAAAGGTTATTTAAAGCCACTTTTAACCGCGGGTTCACACAAAGCAACCCCACAGAATAAAACACTTTTTACAATGAGAATCTTTTAAGAGTAATGATACTCACCTCAAGTAGTTAGAGTGAAATAACATAATCATATGATTTTTAATTGAGTATTTATGTTAAATACAAATAAGTGAAGGATCTCACTCTCTCATTTGTTACATAAATGACCAATTAAAAGCAGTAGTATCTTTTAATATAGTTTTATTTAATGAGATATACTTTAAAACTCTTGGTGCATTGATGACATAATATCATTAAGTGATTAAATGATATAACCTAACAATAGAACCCACTAAAGTAAATATATTTTTACTTATGAGACAAAATATAATTGGATGATGATATTGATGACGCATATCACCAATGCAAAAAAGTCTTTCTCCTATTTTGAGTCTGGATCTTCAATTGTAATCCCTACCTGTTGTAATAGGGGAGAAAGACACTTGGACCAGTGATATTACGTGGTATGTGCCATCAACTAATTATATCATATCACATAAGTAAAAGTACATTATTTTGGTGAATCCTACATGTCAATATTTGATCAATTAGTGATATCACATCATTATTAAAAATTGGAGCAATAAAGTATTTCTCGTAGTAGTACTATACACTTTGCAACACATTGCATGCCTTTCAAAACATTACATTTACTTTTTAACCGTCATTTTCAACACATTATCAATTTTTCAACACATTAAATCTAGCTTAAATAAGTAGACTTAAAGTGCTAAAAATAGGTTTAATGGCGTTTAAAAAAACCCTAAAGCACCAGGGATTACGACAGAGGATCTGGGCGCGACTCTATAAATGGAGAATATATATATCACCTGCCATGGAAATGTAAAAAAAATTTCGCAGTTTCATAATTTTGATTATCGCGAAGATAATCTCTCTCTTTCACATTTGATACCCTAATCCAAACACGAAACCCTTATTTCTATCTCATCGAAAATCCCTATCTCTCTGAAGCCCTAACCCTCTCTCGATTCATTCTCTGTACTCTCATCTCTATCATCAGATTTTCATCCCTTTGTCTCACTCTCTCATTCGATTGAAACCCTAACCCTCTCTCAGTTCACTCACTCACTCATCCTTTCTCTCTCCTTTTTGCTCGTCACATAAAGTTAACTTTAGCATCAGATCGATACCATCCATCATAAAAATGTAAAAAACATTTTGCAGTTTTATATCATCATATTTTCATCCCTCTCTATGTCTCTCGTTCTATCGAAGCCCTAACCGGCCCCTTTCTCGATTCAATCTCTCCATTTTGGCTTGTCATAGAAAGTCAACTTTCTATACCAGGCATAGCCCATCGTAGAAAGTGGACTTTTTGTGATCGACCCACGTCACCTGGGGGAGAAGTTCGATCATGACACTTCTATATGTGGACGCTTTTTAATTATGTAAACGTGTAATGAAAATCGTAAACACAAAAAGTGTGCGAAGCAGACAATATCTACACTATGTGACTAAGTCATGACAATAACTATTAATAGACCAGCATTTGAAATCCCATTCCTAGCTGGTGTATTGCTCGACCATATAAAGCAATATCATTATATTTATTATAAGAAAGATTTTATCAAGTCACCATTTTCTTTTCTTTTCTTTTTTTCTTTTTTTTTTTTTACCTTAGTGGCCTTACCCCACATTTGCCTCCACTAAAATAAAATTCTACCATTAGAAAAAACATATTTTTTGAATTCCTTCCCTATAAATACCCTTCTTGAGGGCGTGTGTCTTCCACACTCCTCTGTATCCTCCTCCCTTCACTGTCATCATCCCTTTCAATCACTCTTATTATCCCATTTTCATTTTCATCCATGGCCTCCAACCAAACTCCTCTCTCCGACGCCAAATTCTCCGTCCAAGTCCATGATGTCGAGCAACAAACGAGCCTAGAGCTCGAAGAACAGGACATCGACTACTCAAAAAGATCACAATGGCTACGTGCGGCGGTCCTAGGAGCCAACGACGGGTTGGTCTCCACTGCATCCCTAATGATGGGTGTTGGAGCAGTGAAGGAGGACGTGAAGGTCATGATCTTGACCGGGTTCGCGGGTCTGGTAGCCGGAGCCTGCAGCATGGCCATAGGAGAGTTTGTGTCGGTGTATTCGCAACTCGACATAGAAGTTGCTCAAATGAAGAGAAAGAAGAAAAGGGTAGACGGTGGACAGAGAGAAGAGCAAGATGGGGAGAAGGAGAATTTGCCAAAGCCAATGCAAGCAGCTGCAGCGTCGGCTTTCGCGTTTTCAGTCGGCGCAATGGTGCCATTGCTAGCTGCATCGTTTATTAAAAAGTATTGGGTGAGGCTGTGGGTGGTGGTGGCCGCAGTGACCCTGGCTTTGGTGGTGTTTGGGTGGTTAGGGGCTGCATTAGGGAGGGCACCGGTGGTTAGGTCATCTGTGAGGGTTTTGGTTGGGGGGTGGCTAGCTATGGCTGTGACCTTTGGCTTGACCAAGTTGATTGGGTCCAGTGGGTTGTGATTCTAACCTTTGGTACTCTTTGTTGGTTTGTTTGTTTTTTTTTTTTTTTTTTTTTTTGAAGTGGGGGCTTCAACTTTTTCTTTCTCACTTATTTTCCCCAAAAAAAAAAAAAACTATTTCCTTCTTTTTTTTTCTTATCCTACGTACTTTTTCTTGTATATCATGAAATGTATCAAAATAATAGAAAATGGTTGTGGAAGTCTCTCTCTCTTTCTCATGAAATTATCAAAATAATAGAAAATGGTTGTGGAACTCTCTCTCTCTTTCTCAAGAAATTATCAAAATAATAGAAAATGGTTGTGGAACTCTCTCTCTCTCTCTTTCTTGCTCTCACCACCATTGATTTTTTCTTTTCTTTTCTTTTTTTTCTCTTTCTTGCTCTGACCATCATTGAAGTTTTTTATTTCTTTTTCTTTTTTTTTTTGGTAAATAAGGATAAAAAAAATAAATAAGGAAAATATACAAATACAAATGGGGCATACCCATGCCCTGCAAGAGGCCCAGAGCCATTCCGGCCAAAGCAATATACCAGTCCAAAAACAAAAGCCAATAAGAGGAAACAAAAAACATATGTACAAAAATGTGAAGTTCAAACATGGCCTTAAATTCAAAAAATAACAGAACCCTAACCGATAACTAACTGTGATTATTAAGTTTGTCATATATATACAAATATTTCTTCTTATTTGAAAATTACACTAAACTTTCCTGTTAGTAGGACTTAAAATAGAGCATTCGTATTAATACAACTCAAAATTCATATTTTGGCATCCTGTTAGTAGGACTTAAAATAGAGCATTCGTATTAATACAACTCAAAATTCATATTTTGGCATCAAGATTCATATGTGAACAAATTTGATTTAGATCTAAACTTTATTCCATTTAAGAATTATCTACATCCATAAACTATTGAAATATGTGGTGGATATTTTAATAAAAATTCATATATATCTTTCACTTTGTCAAATAAAAGATTCATACGTGATTTCGAATTCAACATTCAAAATTTAAATTCAAACTCATTAAAATAGATTTCGTATGAGAACAGATCTCAAGTCAAGCCACTCTACTTTAAGCCCAACCTGTATGATACCTTTATACATGTTTTCGAACTCAAATTCAAAATTAAAATTCAAACTCGTTAAAATGGATTTCGTATCAGACCAGATCTCAAGTCAAGCCACTCTACTTTAAGCCCAACCTGTCTTATACTTGTCTAACACGTTTTCGAACTCATATTAATAATTACTCGTTACAAATTCCTGTCTTATACTTCCATCTAACACGTTTTCGAACTCATATTAATAATTACTCGTTAAAATGAATTTGTATCAGACCAAATCTTAGGTCAAGTCACTCGATTACATGCCCAACGATCTTAGGTCAAGTCACTCCATTATATTCCCAACGTGGCTAATACTTCCATCCAATCAATAAAGTATATACTTTTACTATTTTTGTTAGTGAAAATTGTATTTTTTAAAAAATTGAATAAAAAATATATATATTTGGTAAATGAATAAAGAAATTTTAAAAGGGAAAATTTATTATTTTGAAATTGTACGTTGATATCAATAAAATTCGTATATTTTCATGTATATTTATGTCGAAAAAATATACGAATTATTATTTATGTCATTGAATTATGGGAATATGTTATAAAATTGGACTTGGATCCTTTAAGTTAAAACCATGGTTATCAAAATCGCGATTCTGAGTTGTAGAATCGCATGATTCTACGATTCAGAACTCAAAATCGATCCAAATCTTAGCAAAATCGCTCAAATGGTAGAATCAGGGGTAGAATCAGTAGAATCGTTGGTAGAATCGTAGAATTGTACGATTCTGCACGATTCTACCGATTCTACAAAAATTGGGTATTTGGGCAAGCCTTTGTGTATTAGTTGTTTGGGCCTTTATACTATTGGTTATTTGGACTTGCAAAAAAAGTCTACTAAAAATAAAGAGTTATATATTAATTCTATAAATTATAAAATATAAAAATCTCACTACGACTTACAAAACCTTAATTTGTTATTACAGAAACCACAAAGGAGGCAACAGAGATTCAAAGAGAGCAGATCGGATTCATATAGTCACAGACAGCTTCGGCCAAGTGTGTTCATTTTTTTTTTTCTTCCTTGATCAAGTGATGCCAGGTGTGTTCATTTTTTTTTTTTCTTCCTTGATCAAGTGATGACATGATCCAATTTATTATTAGAGAAACCCCCAATTTATTATTACAGAAACTCCCTTTTGTTAAGATTAGGTATGATATAAAATCTATATCTATACAATAAAGATTAATTTTATGTTTTTAGCTTTTAATTAATTAAGTTTATATCCCTTATATGCACATCATATATTCATCATATGATAATTACCTAATAAAAAACTACAATAAAAAAATAATAATAATAATAGTACTCATGTATTGGTATGTATATGTGTCAGCATATATTATTAGTATATCACAAATATAATATTGTATAAATTATTAAATTATATTAATTTTCTTTCATTCTTTATGTTTTATAGTGGAGGAAATTTATGCAATTGATGATAATGAAGACGTAGATTGATGATGCTAATGAGGAAGATGGTGATGAAGATACTGATGGTGAAGAGTTCAATGATGACTTTATGAATATGTAAATTTAATTTCTAACTTTGGGGATGGTTGAGTTAGGATTTAAGATTTGTGATTTCTATGTTATTTTGAGTTACATTCTCTTTCATTTATATTTAGACTTTAGAATATTCTCTTTTATTTGTATTCGAATTTTGAAATATTGTTAGGATTTGAGATTTGTGAACTCATGGATATGTAATATTGTGTGTTTTGGTCTTATTTTGGTTATATTTTACATATTTTATTGTTTAAGAAGTTAGTTTGAATTGTTTTTTCACAATTTGGTAGAATCTTACGATTCACGATCTGATTCTACGATTCCGATTTTACAAAACCCAAAACGATTCTGCTTAGAATCCCGATTTTAACAACTTTGGTTAAAACTCCTCTAAGTTATCATAAGTTGAATTTTCTACATAATAACATGTGTCATTTAAGATATATCTATAGCTTATGTTAAATCACTTTAATTAATTTAATAAAAGTTAGAAAACTACACCGTTTTGTGATAGGAAAAGCTTTAGAATTTGTTAACAATGTTAACTCTCTCTCTCCTCCTCTCTGATCGTTTGATAACTCTATTTATTTTAGTAATTTATTATAATAATAATAATAAATAAATGGGCACCATATCCATGTATATGGTGTTCATTCATTCATTTATTTATTTATTTATTATTATTATTATTTTGTAATAAAAAATCAACTCACACAGTAAATATTTTAAATTTTTGGTTGGTTTGTAAACTTTGAATATTGTATTTGCAATAACCCGCAAACCATACATATCTTTTAACCTTATTATTTTTACGCCTAGTGAGAATCGAACCTAGGCCTACCTAGAATTATTTTTTTTTTTGGTTGGTTTGTAAACTTTGAAGGCAACTATATGGCATTTGTAAAAATGATGCACGAATATCAAAGCCAAACTCCAATTGTAGAAATATCCCGTACTCCATTTTACAAAATCAACAACCTATGATCCATCCTTGTTGAACTGTCCGATGCGTCTGTTGCAACATGCAACTGGTGCAAGGAAAATTTTCTCCAATGGTTGACACTATGGTCATTAGAAGTTCATTCCAGATGCTATTATTATATTTTCCAACCTAGAAGACACTGTCTCATTCTATGAAGACTTTCCAAATGCTATTATCTTTTCTAACGCTGAAGACACGGTGCAATGAAATTAGACATTTTTTTATGAAAAATGATAGGGTCAATCAATAAGTCTCGAATCTGACGTGTTTTTGTCCACCTCATCTACTTAAACATTTTTCATCATCTACTTAAACAGTTTTCAAAAAATAATTATTTAACACGTGATAAGTATAGCCAACCACGTCAAATTTGATGTTAATTCTGAATTCTTTTTCGTTCCCGTCATTCCTCTTCTTTTATTTAGGGTAAAAAAATGATTTTAAGGCCGGATAACAAGCGGCTTAACTCACAAAAAATAATAATAATAATAATAATAATAATAAATCACTAAAATAAATAGAATTACCAAACGACATTATTGTAGAGAAAAAGGGAGAGAGAGTTAAAGTCGTTAAGGTATTCTAATTTCTAGAGGTTTTTTTATCTTAAAACGGTGTAATCTACTAACTTTTATTAAATTAGTTACAATAATTTAACATAAGCCATAAACATATCTTAAATGACACGTCATTTAGTAGAAAATTTAACTTATAATAACTTAAAGGAGTTTTAATTGAATTATGAGAATATTTATAAAATTATGTCTCGTGTAAAATAAAGATAAAAATAAAAATCCATAGAATGTGACTATAATTTATCTAAAGTATAATCTCCGGCTGCAACTCAAACGGAGGCGAATCTGAGCCCAACCAAAGGTACAAAACTTACAACCCAAATTGGATCCGAACTCAACATCCAATTTGTGCAATCTGAGCATGTTTTTCTAAGCTAGGGTTAACTGAGTTAGCCCAGTTAACTAAACGGGTTACATAATAATTTAATAATGGACTAATAGTAGAAATATTGAAAATAAAGGACTAGTCCAATTAAAGGGGTGAAAAAATAAAGGAAGAAAAAGTAGTATCAGCAAGCGTACTTAACAAATTATAGTTACAAATTTTCTTTTCATCAATTTTCTTTTAAAAGACGAAAAAATATCCCATTGGCAAATAAAAGGCCAAACATTAGGAGCAACCCTCTCCTGCTACATAGTTTTGTGCTATATAAATTAATAGAATTTATATCAAACTTACTTTATAAAAAATAAATAAAGAAACAAAAAAATACAAACACACCATAGAACGACTGGCTAATTTTTATGAATTAGAATGTAGAAGTGAAATTGTTGTTAGAAAAAAGTTGGGAATATCGCATAAACTCCTATGGGTGGTCCATTTGGTCAAATAAAATTCATAATCAAGACTCATACCCCCTATATCATCTTTGTCCCTAATTGCAGCCATGAATGAAATTATTCTTCGTTTTAGATGAAAAGGCACACCAAATAATGATTTTCAACATTCTTTTAGAAACAAGCTAAATTTTCCTGTATTCTAATAGAGGCAAAAGAGAACTTAGTAGGGTTTAAACTAACAAGGTCTTACTCCATGACCCAATTGGGTGTTTATCATTGGGGTTTAAGAAGAAAGCCAAATTAAATTAATCTGCACCGAAAGACAAAACGAAACTACCCAATAATGTAATGTTCATTTGATGTATGAAAAGAATTGTCAAGGAACAATTGAATTGCCAGAATTGTTAAAACCGTTTTCGGACAGCTCTGGGTGAATTATTCTCATATTTCCACTCTTTCATTGCTTTCGTACAAACACCTCGTATACGCTACACGTGAATTAACAAAAGATGACAGTACAAAGAACAGGAAGAAGATGCTTTAAATCCAAACCACGATTTTGAACAAATGGCTTTCCCTTGCAAAACAAAATTGGGCATGCACTTTATCACTCCATAATATCCCGACATTTCAACCGCCGTTTCAAATTTATGCTCCATCCCTCTCAAAAAAAAAACTCTATGCTTCTTTACATTAAGCAGCTGGCAGTCAAGAAAGGCCCTGAAAATACCTGAAACGATGAACTGACTCCGACTTCAAAACTCATTGTATCTTGAAGAGAGTTTTCAGTTTCACAACTAGCCTCCACTCGTCAATCGACAGGTCATCCTGTACATTTTCCAAGTTGGTAACCAACAACAGTAAACATAATCATTTGATGAAAGCAAACTGCATCTGAAGTTCAATTTCACTTACCCGATAATTAGATTTAAGTATGTCAATTGACCTCCTAGAGATGTGGCTGACAAGCTCATCTTCAATTTCAAAATGCCTGCCAAACATTTTTTGCTGTTCCTCAGCATTGCTACCAACAATCTGCAAAAGCATCAAAAAACTGCAAATGAGGGCCATTCCAAAATATATGGAAAACTGCTTCCTGGTCCAGTAAAGCAGCTCAATTGGATTTTAAGAACTACGTATTTAAGAACATTCGAGAAACAAATCTAGTCTCAACATAATTAAGATAGAGTGAAACAAGTTGAAGCCAGCTAAATACTCAAAATGGTATCTATAGCACATTCTCTATGGTTTAGAGAGAGAGAGAGAGCAACACTAGTTCTGTAAGCACAATACAAATTGGTTGAAGGCATTGGATATATGGTATGACATACCACGACACTAACTCCTAATTCGGTAAGCACATACAAATTGGTAGAAGGCAAGGTTACATCCAATGTTTTGTAAATCTTATCCAAAAAATATAAAATAACACAAGTTTGAACTGCCTAAACAAAGTGGAACAGATCCTGAATGCTCTCAAACTTGACCAATCAAACTCAAAAAAACTACTCAGTTCATCGCTGCATATTTTTCATTCATAAAATTAGGAAATCACAATATTATAAGCTGGTATTGAGCCGTATTGCTGATAATGAGATGTACACGTCCCACCTATTCCATAACCAACGATCGCAATTTAAAACAATAAACAGGAAAAGATGAAAAAGAAGGGGTGATAATAAAGTAACGGTATAGGGGAGCAAATTTTTTAAAAATTGAATGAAATTCATATGGGCAACCTAACATTTTAGATGACGGAGTGCATCTCCGTCATCTTAAAGTAACCAGAATAAGCGCAAAAAAGTTCAGTAGCATCAATCCTAAATTTATAAATAGAAGATTGCATGTCCACACAGTGTTATTGGCTCAAGGAGCTAGAGGCCCTTTGGAGCCTAGGCATCTCATAAGTCATATCAATATAGAATTTGAAAGTTTAAAATACCATAAAAGCATTCATATCTCATAAGTCATATCAATATTCCAAAAATTAATACCAAATATAAACAAGTAAATCCATCAACTATACAAGCATCCAAGAACAACAAAAAATGAGCACAAATTTGTTTTCTTGAAAGGCAAAATAGAATTTGTTTTTTTAAAAGGCAAAACAGAGCACAAAAAAGATATATATATATATATATATAATAATAATAATAAATAAATAAATAAATAAACTGTTAACAAGAAAAGAAAAATAATAATATATTGAGCCAAAAAAAAAAAAACCCGCAGAGACAGAAGTAGACACGAGAAGAGAGATGAAGTGTCAAAGAAGAAAAGGATGAAAAACAGAGCCGCCCCCCCCCCCCCCCCCCCCCCCCCAACCAAAAAAAAAAAGACGAGAGGAAAACTAGTCGAAGAGAGAGATGTGAACAAAGATGATGAGATGAGAGAAGAAGAACTGGCGTGGCTTCGTCTCACTCTTTCTGTGTTCGGTTGACACTTTTGACTCTTGGGCTTTCTTATTTGTTTATTCTTTTGAACAAAAGTTCCTTCTCTCATACGCTTGGGCTTTCTTATTTGTTTATTAAGTTGCCACAAGTACCTTTTTGGCTTTAGAAATAGAATAACAATATTTTTGGGGGATAAAAAAAAAAACAGTGAGGGCGCCAGCACAACCGAGGCATACGCCTATTAAACATTAGTGCGTCTGGGATGACAACTAGACCGACTTGAGCCTAGGTGCACCTATGTCCACACACATGCTCCAAGTGAAATACTTGCAGTTGTATAAGTTCAGACTGACAAGCGTGAGGACACGTGTTCAAGCCACCTTGTGCAAAATAATGCATATAATGCAATAGTTGGGTCTCTCTCCAGTCTTTACCATCACCAAATGTAGGTAGGACCAACAGTCGGTTAATAGTCCATCGTTTCACATTATATAAACCAAGATAGGTATTGTTATCTTATGTTTAGATACTTCATATATCATGTAGTGTTTTTTAGGCAAACTGTAAAATTCAAGGACATTTATTGCTATTGGCCAAATGCTTGCAACCCAGATACTTCCTACAATTATTTAGATGATTTTTGCAACATTCAGACGAAGTAAAGAAGTTTAAGGGTCATCCAACTCCCAACTTTGACAAAGCAGGGATGAGAAAAACAATTAGCTTTGAAGTTGCCAACAGCATTGAAAGCTGCAACATTCTGCATCACAAGGATGGATTCCAATCCCATGACGGGAAAGACAGCTGCAACACCACTAATTTAAAGTACTTGATTTATAAATGTGAAAAATTAGTTTGGACATTTTGAAGTCCAACTGATATGACAACATTCAATATATCTCATGTAGCATCCAAAAGATACATCATATCTATTACTACTTGCTTAAAATAAGGGCTTGGAAGATTTTAATAGAAGTTCATATAGTTTTCCTATTTGGTGGTTGGGGTGAGTCATCTGTACAGACATTAAAAGAAAATGTAACAGACTCATTTAGCTTCCTCTGCACACATGATAACTCCAATGCTAACAAAAATATCACACATTGCGTCAAACAAATATCATACCTTAATGGCCACCTTCTGGCCTTTCTTGGCATAATCAACTGGTTTGTGGTTATTCTCGATGGATCCAATCCGACCAATATCAATAAAGTCTCTTTGAGGAATGCAGATCGGGGTTCCAACCTGAGAAAATATATTTCAAATTATCACGTCTTTGTCGATTACAAATATTTGCAAGAAAAGTACCTCTAGACTTGTTCATATGAAATGATTGATCTAGTAACGCAAAAAGAGCCCTTGGCACCCAAATGCCAAAACAAATTAGAGCACATGCAAGGGCGGAGAAATATGGCATCATAATTAACACTGATACGTTCCAAGTCAAGCAATATTAAGACTAGGACCATATAAAACAATTCAAGGTGATTAATGAGAACAATAGGTAGGCAAGCAGCAAGTGAGATTCAAAATACTGTATACATATGCAGAAAAGAAGTCTAGATTCAAAATGAGGAAGTTGCAGTTAGTAGTCAACTCTGTAAGTATTTACAGATGACAGACAAAATGAAAAATATCACACAATTAATTCATAAATCAGTGGGGAAATAAATAAATAACCTATGCATGATTAATGGAATATCTTCACTAATCGGTGATTTTACTCGAGACGGATCCAACAAATTCAGTCACAACAGTAACCAAAACAAACAAAAGTTTCATAAGGAACTGAATCTGCCAGTAAAAGCAACACGAGCATCTTTGTCAACACAAAGAATTGAGTAATTACACATCAATATCTCTCCCAGATACTTATTTTAACCCTATAATTAACCTCAAAACCCATGGTCATGTTGCTGTAAAATCTAAAACAATTGGACATCAATATCACTCTCAGATACTTATTTCAACCCTAAAATTACTTCAAAAACCATATCATAGCAGTCAAATCTAAAACCTATGGTCTACAGAGCCATAGAAGGTTAAAGCATATTTGGAATTAAAAGACAATAACATTCATTGATCGCTCAACAGGCTCATGACAGTGAAATGCAACGTAAGAATTCAGCAATATCCAACTTATCAAAAAAAAAGAATTCAGCAATATCCATCAATTGGCAAATGGAACAGGTGATAAGATAAATTAAAAGAACCAAATAGCAAAAGACAATGATGACAAGTTGACAACAATAATAAAAATAAAACACCTTAGCAATTCCTTCAAGAACATCAACCCCAAGGACAATGGGATCCTTCTTGTTAAAGACACAGTTAGGCATAATCTTGAGAACACATGGAAAGACTGCTTCCTCGGCAGCTTCCTTCTTCTTTTCCTCCTTGAGATTGTCAATGTAAGCCTTGAATTGATCGAACAAGTGATAAATGATATCGGCCATGAATATTTTGACACCAACTTCATCTGCAAGTTCCCGAGCCTCTTGTGTCACTTTAACATCAAAGGCCAAGATTGTGGCATACTCTTTCTTCTTCTCAAGCATGACGCTTGCCTTCATGACATCCTTCTTATGTACAGGGCCTATGCTTATACCGCTAACAGGTATGTTTACAGCCGGGGTCTTCAAAAATTCCAGCAATGCTTCTAAGGATCCAAGAGTAGATGCTTGAACACAAACTCCCTCGCCAGTTTTATCAATCCTGTTCAAAACAGACTTCATATCTTCCATTGCTGATTCTTTCATATCTTCCACATCGTCATTAGGCCCCACCACATGTAGACCAGTGCCTGCAATTGCATGCTCAAGGCCCTGCATAAGATGTAATAAACAAAAACAAGAAATTCTTTAAGAAGAGCACAAGTCATGATATCTGCCATATGTAAATTTTAAGATTAAGATGAGGCTAGGAAAGGAAGCAAATTGGCTCAGCTGGCCATCTTCTGCACCAAGAAGGAATATGCAACACACTTGTGCATCTACTGTGCTCAAAACCTTATCATCTTTTCAGAGAGACGGTGTATGTGGGTGTGTGGGGTGGGGGTATTGCTTATCCAGAAAATTACTCTCTCAACAATTAGATATTGTACAGATGAAGTAATTATTGCTTAGACTTCCCTCCCACCATTATTGATGTGCCTTGTCACAATTTAAATATTTTAAAAATGCTCCTTATACCTTTGAATAGCCAATAGGGATGAAGTGTGAAGAATACAGTCTACAGATCACACCACCAATTAGATTTATTTCACGCAACAGGACAAATATTAAAACAATAACAACACCTGTGCGGTAATCTTGATACCCTGGGCAGCCTTGATTTCTTTGTGATGCAAATATGTTCCCTGAAATTAGAGAACCACCAAATCATCCTCATCGCCATCCAAATAATAAATATTAATGATATAACAGTGAACTTAAACACACTATTTACAGAACAAATTTTCATCTCAGATGTGTAAAAAAATGAATAAATAAATAAATAAAAGAATAGCCAAATCTTTAGTCTCTTGAAGATCTAGAAGGGGCAATACAATCCCCAACAACAAATGTTGACAGGCAAATGGCATTAGTGTTCTTTAGAGAAGTATCATTTCGCATACGGTCACTTAGGGTTAGGAAAGTCACCAGAATGGTTGCCAGAGAAAACACTGAAACAGTTATCCTACTTCAACATATAGCCCACTTCTAAATAATTCTGGACCTCATTTCAAGGTTTGGTTTGTAAAGACACCTCATTACTCCGACATCCAACAGTCAGTTCCCAAGCGCCCACATGTTGAAAGATTAAAAAGAAAGGGAAAAAAAAGCGCTACACAACTCTTTTTATGATAAATGCAAAGTTAACTTTCATGATCTTTAAAGAACACAAGCCACTTTGGACGACATTTTACCACATTCTAATATTTTCTTAATGAACAGAGCACTCAAAATTTTCAAGAACTACATTCTATTTACCATCCATCCACCTCTTAATTTTTGTAAAGATGTTAATTTCTCCTCATTTTACAGTTCCTTCTTTTTTATGCTGCTATATTACCCCCCCAAAAAAAAAGGGGGGGGGGGGGGGGGGGGGGGGGGGGGGGATTGGGGTAATCTCTCTCCATAGATTTCAACAAAGGGTAATGGCCTTTTATACAAGACAAGATTATTGACCGTGTTTGTCTTACACTACTCATACGATGGCAACGGGGCGGGGAACGCCATCCCCATCCTCGTCCGAAACTGTTTATTAAACGGCGGGGGCGGGTTTTGTAGAGTACTTTCGTAATTGTATCACGAATCTGACGAAAGTAAATAGTTAAACAAATTTTCAAGTTTCAACTACAGTAATAATTCTCTCTCTATGCGGACAAAAACAAGAGTCAACTTCTCAATTAGAACTTGAGACTTAATATTATTGTAACATGAAAATAATACATAAAAGTTCTCAAATAAGAATAATACAAAATTGATATTTAGTGATCTGAATAAAATAAACTAAGATTTGCTTAATATATACCTAATATTATTGAATATAAAATAAAGTATAAGGACAAAATTGTAATTTAAAACCATAAACAGGGTGGGGCAAGGTGGGGTGACCTTTCCCCATCCCCACCCCATAACCATGCAGGTTTCAATCCTAACCCCCATCCCAGCCCAAAAACCATTTAACTACCCCACAACCTTTCTAAACGGGGTGGGCCAGGGTATTTTGCCATCCCCACATACAACAACCAGAGTTAGTTACTAAGATAAGTTGCAAACTTCAATCCAGCGAGCTGAACTGCTACCAAAGAATTCTTGATCAAAACCGTCGCAGCCTTTTTCCTTTTTGGTTCGCAATTGCAGCTAGTTTCGTTATGATTCCTCTACTATTTACAGGTCTCCTAATATTAGATATTTGATAACTTTAAAAAGAATTGCAAAATACCGTAACAACTTTTTGAGAAAATAACTTCGTTCCACGGAGAATAATTAATGATTCTTACTTTATAATTCATAGTTTTGTCAAAGTAACCTTTATAGATAAATTATTTATTATTTAAAAAGAAATGTATATGTATATATATATATATATCAACCTTCATAGATCATACCACATTATTAGCAAAAGCATTTTCTTAGTAATTGTTATTAGTATATTAAAATTACTAATGTTAATTTGCTTAACAACCATCTCGACAAGATTTGTTTTTCTGATCTCTAATTTGACTCCTACGATAAAACTACTACCTTAACATGTTTTAGGTAAAACAGTATCTTCAGAAACATCTGTAGTTCTTAGTTGCCTACAGCTTGCTAAAGTTATTACCTACTTTAACTTATCACTTTATGGCTAGTAAATATGTTATTCTATTGTTTGTGTCTCTCATGTATTACTTCTCTCCATAGATCTCCTATTTCTGATAGCACATGTGTCCTCCAGTGGGGATCAATTACACTATTCTCCATTTATGCAACCCGTCTCATGCTACAGACAGACTCCAATCATCTTATGTATTCATTCAAGTCAAACAACAGATGGAGCTAGAAAGCCTTCTCCACATGCACTTGAGATCTCCAACGGGACCAAAGCCTACTACACAAACATCTCTATTATGAGAACCTATACATCACGAGAACTTGCTCGCTATAAATGAGCCTCAGATGAAGACTTAAAGACAACTGCTAAATCTCTCATGCAGGACAAAACACCCTGATGCATCCAAGACACTATCTCAGTTGGGAGCAAGGCCAGGAATGGCTAATCGACATGGCCCACCGTTGGGGTTCCAATGATAGCCTTATGGGAACATAGAGGTACTTGACTCAGTCGCTAAATTTGACGCTCTGCCAAGGGACCCTCCTGCTCAAGGCTTACACACACCTCGACCTGGCTCAAGGAAAAAGAAATATCACTTTGACTTCCTATTAGCGAATGCCCGCTGTGACATGGCAACACCATTTAGACCACTGAGATTTTCTAGCGGTGCTAGCTACATCAGTGCCACTTTACCATATCAAATGGCCCCGTCTCTGCAATAGATCACCGCCACATCTGCAGTGTTATCCTCATTAAGTCACTATCAGACATTCTCATCGCATTTTTAGGTGTCTTCTTGAGATACACCTAACTTTATTTGATATCGACATGAGCATTACTGGACTATAAATAGGTCCCAGCATGCAACTAACTCCTCTCATGCATGATGCATCAAAGAACCTTAAGAACCACCAAATCAAGTCTCTTCAGTCATGAAAATTAGAGATTAACTATTAGCTTTGACCCAAGGAGTCGGCGACTCAGTATTAATCTCTAGAGTGCCAACCCCTTTTTCTCTCTCTCTCTCTCTACTCTCTCATACACTACCCCTTCCCCCCTCATGATCAATAACCCACAGCTCTAAAAAAAAGTGGATCACCCAGCAGGCCATATGTATGTTTGGACAACACAATATCTATTTATCACGTGTATATGCAATATGACCTCATCTAATTTTTTTTATATATGATTGTAACTTGTCTGTTAAATTTCTTATATTTATTAAAAATCATTCATATCAACTTGTATAATAATTGATAAGTGATAACTGATATAGTTTGCATATAAAAAGGTTAAATGTGTGTGTGTGTGTTTTTATAGATATGCATGTGTGAGAGTGAAACATGGAGATTGATTTTGATTTGAAAACACCTTTGAATCATTGTAATAAGATGGATTTGAAATAGTACAAGAAATTCAGATTACGAACCTAGTTAAGGAATTCTTTGGGGCTTAATATGCATTCAGATTACAAACCTGGTTAATAAATTCTTTGGGGCCTAATATGCAAATGAGGTGTGCATACTGATGCTCTTAGTTATGTTTTTGAATAATATATAATAGGGTTAATTACACTGACACCCCGTCAAGTTTGGCCCAATATCACACTAAAACATCTTTCGAAAATTACTATCACTTAGGTCCAATTTTACTTTTCCGTCAGTAACCTAATCAATTTCATTATTTAAAAAAACCTAATCAATTTCATTATTTAAATAAAATAAAATAAAATAAAACAAACAAACAAACCAATTTATCCATATAGTTCAATAACAATCTCCATATATGAAAACAAACAAATAATAGACGAGATTCTTAGTCTATTTCAGAGACAAATATTACTAACATTTGGAAAACTCAATACAACTACCACCAAAATTAACTTCAATGGACAACGATACTAAAAACAGCAGTAAAATACAAAGAGCCTCACAGATATTAATCTATCTATTAGTATATCTATATATTAATATATATCATTTATCAAAGGTTATTCAAGTCATTTCAACTCTTTTTTCAAGTCAAAAATGAATCATAAGGGTAGCAACGTTGCTTTACATGCAAAAAGTGTTCTGACACCACTAAAAAGTAACATTTGGGGTGTGAGTGAAGAACGGACCAAAAGGTTATGATGTGAGTGATAGTAATTTTCGATAAGTGTTATAATGTGATATTTGGCCAAACCCGAGGGGGTATCAGTGTAATTAACCATAAATATTATGTATGTGTGTAGAATGATTATGTATATGCATATGGACAATAAGATTAAATTCTTATTGTCGGATGAATTCATCTTGCTATATATACATACATATTGGTTGAATAGTGTAGATGATGGAGAATTGTATGTCAATGGCTGAAGTACTACAAGCGATGAAAAACGATCTTATTCTATAACTTGATTCTCTCAATTTTAGTTTGTTTTGAGTATGATTTAGCGTGGATTTGAAGCCTATAGTTGGTTGTTTGGTATTGAATTTGAAAAACCCAGGGTTGCAGGTCGTCAGGTTGAAGAAAAGGGGGGAAAAAGATCTAAATCAGGTTTACCCATGCGCGAGGGAATGCGTGTCGGCTGTGGTTCGACCTCCGGATAGGACCACAAGATGGGCCCACCCTCAGGTCCATCTGAAACTACTTTATAATTATTCTGAATTTTAACTATTTAAAATGGGTAAATTACACTGACACCCCTGAGGTTTGGCCTTACATAGATGGAAACTTTGCAAAAAAGGATCAATAGCACCCACTTACGTTTGCTCTGTCATACACAAACACCCCTAGGGAGCTCTAACACCATGTAAATGACCTGCATACCCATTGACTTGTCTAAAGACAACCTTAACACGTAAAATTACCAAATTATCATCACATGCAAAAAATTTCTAGGCCAAAATACACTTTTGGACTCTCACTTTTGCACGTGTAATACACACACACACACACACATATATAATATAACTAATATTTTGTATATTTCTCTCTAAATATATAATTAGATATTATATGCATATGTAATATACATATTAAATAAAAATATACTCATTTTTAAAAATAAATATAAACATTTACATGCATAATTAATTTACATAGAGACACTAAAAAATATTACATAAAATACTATAGACATATTTGAAAAGGAATAAATGTAATGACCCTCACCCTAGCCAAACACAATATTGTCCGCTTTTGGCTCCCCCAGACCAAAGACTTCCCAGGGGATCACCCGTCCTGGTACTACTCCAGGTTAAGCACGCTTAACTATGGAGTTCTGATAGGTTCACGGCCATCACGGCTTTAAAAATCGTAAAAAGGTATTGAATCTACATATAACACTTGCCCCATCCACACTCAGGCGATGTGGGATTGTGCACCTATAACTCGCCCAGTGTGGTAGCCTGCCAGTGTCTCGCACCCGCCCACGCACACCCGCCCACATTGGGTCGCCACAATAAATGCGCAATTTAGAAAGAAAAATATAAAAATATAGTAAAATAATCAAATAAAATCAATGTCACAAAGGAGCTTGTTCTGGGTTTGTTGGGGAAGAATGTGAAGGTGCATAGGTAGGATCTCCATCAAACCAACACCTCGAAGCACCCAATCAATATTGCCACCGACGTATTCAGTATCACCAACAGCTCTCTAGCTAGGGCCGGCGACTTGCCTGATTATGACGACATATTGGACTGGTCCATCCTCTTTCCCTTCAGAATTGAGTCATCAAACTGAACGGCGATGGGGCGATTGAATACACTTTGCTATTTTTACAACTCAACCCAAATCTCTCTCTCTCTCTCTCTCTGTAAATCCACACAACCCACTGTGACCTAACTAAAATGGCATTAACTGAGTAGCAACCCCACTGTACCCGTCAAGATGGGTGCAATAGGGCATGTGTTGATAGAAGGCGTGTGGGCTTTTCTCATGAATTTGTTTTTGGGTCCATTGAATGGAAGGATGATATGCAACATTGAAGTTGTTAGTTCCCCTGTTTTCACACAATCCATGTATAAATACGTACACACGTATATATGCACCATATACTTACAGACCCATCTTGTGTCAGACAATGGTGGGTGGTGATTGTGGGGTGGAGGTTGCAGTGGCAAGCTTATCCTTGACCTTTTTTTTAGAGTGTACCGCTAATTTGAAATAAGAAAAGGAGCACTAGTAGGATAGGTGGTCCCTTCAAGTGGAGAGAGAAAGAAAGGAGTAGGCCAAGGCAGTCAAGATTAAGATTCTGGCACGGGGATGGTGGAGAAAGAGAACGAAAGAAGGGTGGGTATTGTTGGAGGTGGCAATGGTTGGTGGAGGTTGTCGATGGTTCTGGTGAAGACTAAAGAGGTGGGGGTTGCATTTTCTAAAAAAGGACATTTCGGTCATTTAATTATTCTGATATTTTATATCAAAAAATAATTAAGTATTGAAGGGCAAACTAGACATTTTACCCTTTTTTAGGCTATGTTTGGATCCAAAATCTGATGGGGTGTCATTGTGTCAAAAAATGGGCTAAGTTCTATCTAGTTGTCAATAGGGCAAACCACACGGGGTGTCCCTGTAATTTACCCATTTAAAATCGTGGAAAATTAGATAAACATATGTAAAAATTTCCCAAAAAACATAGAAAGCTATAATCTATCAAAATAAGCCTAAATGGGTTAAAATACTTAAATTTAGAAGAGAATTATGCGGTTGAATTAGATAAAGTGTCAGAAAATTAATTCTTTAATACACTTTACTTGAGAGTGCAAATTAACAGTGAAGGGTTAGGTCATGAGATTTTACCAGGACCTAAATTAGATGCTGGGGGAGATTTCTGAATATTTACTCTCACTAGTTAATTTGGAGAGAGAATCTATTAGTTCACGCACTATATTTGGGTTTGAGATGAGATTCTTTTTATATTCAAATTTGGAACGTGACACCTCGCCTCCCAAAGAGGAGGTTGAGGGTTCAAAGTCCTAGTTAGCACAAAAAAAGTGGGCATCTTAACACAAAAAAGAACATTCATCTCAACTTTCCTAAATGAATTCCAACATACACAGAAATAATAATAAAGTAAGACGGAAACCAAAAGGTAACCACCAAAAGATGCACTAGAATCTATTCCAGACTCATCAACCTCATGCATACGTTTTAGCAATATACATCTCTCAGATCATTGTTTATTGCATCCTACTTAAAAAAATTAACCACAAAGAAATAAGAAAGCCAAGAAGAAAATGACAAAAGAAAACCTTACCTTAACTCGAAGTTCCTTCATTGGATGGGGGGTGAGTAATGCTCGAATTGAAGTAACAATAGGTCCCTGAAATGGAATTGTAATATGTAAGATTTTGAAAACAAGGATTTCATTAATCTCATGCAGTAACAAAGTATCAAATGCTTGCCTGCATGCCACAAACAACTATTTGATCTCCTTCATGGAGCACGCCATTAACTAGCACCACATCAATGGTAGTCCCATGACCTTCAACAACCTTAACCTCCAAAACTGTACACTGCAAAAGGTTCCAATCCACAATCAGAAATCAAACAATGCCGCTATCTCTCTGCGTCCAAACCAACCAAAGAGAGAAAAAGAAAGCATACCTGCACTTCATTGCTGTATGTAAGTTTTTCAATCATCGTCTTTTGTGTCCATTGAACCAATAATAACAACAAATCAGGGATGCCTTCACCACTGTTGCATCAAGAAACCCAAAATTTCATAATAGAGACCACGAAATGTAAGTTTTGTCAATTGTGGGTGTAAAAGAATGTTGAACCAGCCAAAGCAAGGTCGGACCAAGGGTCCATGGGAAATACCTGATTGCACTTGTAGGAACAATACTGAAAGTTTCCCCCATTTCTTTGTTTTTATAGTACAATTCAGTGTTCAATCCTTGCTCCTTGAACTGTGTGATAACCTGAGATGATCCCAAAATAATTAAGGGAAAAAAGAATTGTTCGTGTGTCCGGTAACCTGGAAAAAGATCGTACTTAAAGAAGAGCGATTTATAGTGACCTGAGTGACCCTCATATTAAATTCATTTTTAACATCTTTTGATTGTTCCTTCATTGTGTTCCGGATTGGTGCATTGCGGGAAGCTTTCCACCCATAAAGTCTATCCACCTGCAAATTATGAAATCAAAGAAACAAATCAAACATAAAAAAAGGGAGCAAAATCAGATGCGATAGAGGTTCAGAACTAATATCACATTGTAATCTCACCTTATTCAACGCAACAATGAATTCTGTGTTCCTCATTTTCAGAAGATTGAGTGACTCGATTGTCTGTGGTTCTAAGCCATGCATTATGTCAACCACCAAAATCGCAATATCACATAAACCTGAACCCCGAGACCGCAAATTAGTGAACGATTCATGTCCAGGTGTATCAATAACCAATAGGCCTGGAACATTCAGCTTTGCATCATCTTTCAATTCCTTAGTTCTCTCGCGTATATTCTCCGCAGGAAAATATGTCGCTCCGATTTGCTGAGTAATCCCTCCAGCTTCACCTTCCTGGACATTAGTGCCTCGGATACAATCAAGCAGCTTGGTTTTACCCGTATCAACGTGACCCATAATACAACAAATTGGGGAACGAAGATTACTTTCACTCTGGTTAGAGAGAGCATCAGAATTCTGTGCCTCCCTTTTCCCTGTAACTTCTTTGCGCTTGTTGTCTGTAACCGCATTCTCAGGTTGATTTCTTTTACTTTCAACATCCTGAGATTTGATTGGTGCAGCAGAGATAACATTCTGGGTAGCAACTGCCGGGTTGGAAGCAGAATGAGGGGGCCCTGCATCCCGAATAGCTGCCCGAGCACTTTTGATCTCTTTTTTTACCACAAGCTCAGGCTCAGATTCATCTTCCTCATCAGCAAATGCACTTTTACCAGGCAATTTAAGATCCGTGTCATCCCAACTCTTCGCATCCCATTCATCATCATCTTCCTCCTCTTCAATTATGTTCTCTTCAACCACATTAGCAACTTCAGTTTTCTCTTCAGCACTCACCAACTCCTCTGCTTCAACCTTCTCTGGTTCTAAGGACTCCACCTTAGAAACAATTTCCTGATCCTTGACTTCTTCGCTTTCAACAGCCTTCACAGGGGCCACACCATTTGCTTGAGGAAGATGTGGCTTTGACTTCTTTGTTTGATATTTGGGCCGTTTTGTTGGTGCCCCGCCATTGTCTCCAGAAGGAAGAGGCAGACCTGCATTAGCAAGTATTTGGTTCCTCATTGCCTCCAACCGACGTGCTTCTTCCTTTTGCTTTCCTGTTAGAAGCTTCCCTTCCTGTTTCTTCTTTAGAAGTTTCTCCTTTTCCTTTTCCTTTTTCAGCCGCTTCTTCTCTTCTGCTAGCCTCTCAAGTTCTTCTTGCCGCCGCCGCTCCTCCTCTTCCTTCTTTAACTTCTCCTCTTCTTCCCTCTTCTTCCTTTCTTCCAATTCCTTGAGCTTTGCAAGTCTCTCTTGCATCTCCCTAACATGCTTCGGAACTTTCTTATCCGCTACTTTGCCCTTTGTTTCTTCCTGTTTTTCTTGCTTTACTTCCACTGCAGCTGCTGCTGCCGCCTTCTTCTCTTTTTCCTTTTCCTTTTTCTTTTTCTTCTTCTTTGCTGCCGCAGACTCCACAGCTCCTTCTTCTTCAGCTTCCTTTTCAGCTGTATCATTTTCCAACCCAATTGGTTCGGGCTGAGTCTGAACTTTCTCCTCCTGTGGAGGAGCAGGAGCAGGTTTTGATGTAGAGGGAGCTTCACCGAGCTCAGCTAGAATCTTTTCCAGGTCATCCTCTTCTTGAGCAGTCCTTCCACTCTTCTTTTTCTTCTTTTTGTTCTTTGAAGTTTCTGCAGTGCTTTTGGAATCATCAGCTTCTTTACTACTAACACTGATACTAGGTTGTTCAGGTTCAACTATATCCGTAGATTTATCTCCAATCCCTGCTTCAGATGCACCTAAAACAGTATTAGTTTTCTTTTTGGAAGACTTCTTCTTACCAGTGAAAGTAATCAAAGACACATCCTCTTCGTCCTCTTTAGCCTCATCCTTGTCTTCAAGCCCATCAAAACTAGATGCTGTGATAGCGCTGCCACCACTTTTCTTTTTTGATTTTGATGACTTCTTTTTCCCAGAGAAAGCAATAACTGGCTCATCATCGTTATCATCTTGCTGTTCTGATATCGAATCATCAATCCCGTCCCCTTCATCTTCATCACCAATTGCACCAAATGCCGACACAGAAAATAAACCGCTACCTTTTTTGTTCTTTGATGACTTATCACCCATGGAATCACCCTCTTCCTCGCTGGCAACATCTTCATCATCCCCATCCTCATCCTCCTCCTCCCCAAGTAATCCAAAACTCGACGCGCTAAACACACTACTGTTAACGCTCTTTTTCGACTTTGACTTCTTTTTTCCGGCAAATTGCACTGCCGGAGCATCATCACCCTCTTCTTCAACACCTTTTTCCTCAAAATCATCATCCTTGGTCTGTGAATTCTTGGAACTCCCCTTCTTACCCTTCTTCTTACCAGCAACCGGGCAAACCTTCTCTTCCTGAATCGGTTGTTCCTCAGAAAAATCTGTCCCTAACGAGTACTCATCATCGTCTATGACTGCCGCCTTCTTTCTCGACTTAGCCCCACCGCCCTGCGCTACAGTAGCGGCGGCGGAGCTATCGTCCTCACGGGGTGTAGGTTTCTTTCGACCCATCAATATCTTGCGATTTCGACAGATGATTTACAGTCTTGAAACCCTCCAAAACCCTATAATCAACTCAATAATCAATACTATAATATAATAACTAAATCGAAACAATTAGATCTGTATTTGTTTATTCATATGGATTTGTTAATATAACATGGCAAAACAGCAGTATCATTTTTTGGATTAATCAATTACAGATGAAACCAAACGCAATCACGAGACAGTATATATATCAAATTACAAACAAAAGTTTAGAGAGAGATAGAGAGCTTGCCTGATGAGATGTTTGACGCTGTGATGATCCGATGACAATTGCGGCGAATCCGATTGTATGTATATATATATGTGCGTGTGTGTCTGTGTATATCTGCGTGAGAGATGCGGTGAAACACAGAAAAATAACGAGGATGGGAGTGGTGAAATAGAATAGAAATGAAGGAAAATGAATAGAGAGAGGAGGAGAGAGATGAGATATACACGAGAGATGGGCTCTACCTCAAGGCCCTTTTAGGGTAGGGTAATGAATGGGCCGCTGTACAAAAATTAAATAATCGCACCTTTTTAGAAAGAAATTTTTTTTTTGTTCAATTACTCCAGTCCATTATCAATATTGGATACAAATTTAGTCTCTCTCCTAACCTCAATTAATGACAGCATCACTCGGTAATAATTTATTGAGTTGTGCTTATGCTAACAAAAAAAAATAGATTAATTTCAATAACACTCGTTTAACCAAATTTCACATGAAAATATATTTCAAAAATAAGTATTACTTAAACGTCATATAACTTTTCGTATCTAACGCCATTAATAAAATATAAATGGATATTTTTATCCTCATTTATTTATTGTATTTTGATTCAAAGTAGCAAAATTTTAAAATAACTTAATTACTCTCATTAATTACTTTGACCTACAACTCTTTCTCTCGCTCTTGACTTCACCTCTCTCTCGTGCCATCTCACTAACTCACATTTGTCTCTTTCTTACTCACCCTTCCTAACCACTGCTATAAAATTCTAACACGTCTTTAACATTAATATCTCTCGAGAATTGTATATATATACGTCGTCAATGTATATTGTATACAGATGACCGCAAGTCACCCCTCTCGAATCAGGACATACCAAAAGGTGCTCAAAACCCAAACCTGCTACCAGGGCAGCGCAGTAATCTCTTTACAATCACCTATCCTTTTGTTATCTTGTCGACCCAAAGGTTGATTACGTTGTTGATCCTTCATTGCTGGTTTAAGGTTAATTATTTTGTTGCTCTTTCATTACTAGTTGATTATATATATATATATATATATATATATATATATATAATTTGTACTTGGTTATAGTGTTGTGCATTTATATACATATTTAGTATGGTTGTAGTGCAAGTTCTCAAATTTATCATCATTTACTTCTATTTTATTTGTAATTATGGTATTATGTTTAATGGATTTTGAAAATTTTCTCTAGTGATGGCCATATATACATATATATATGTGTGTGTATATATATATATATGTGTGTGTATATGTATATAACCTATATATACTTGGTGTGAGAAGAAAGAGAGAAGCGGGTTCAATTTTTTGATATTTTGGACATTTAAAATGGATTTTAGGGATATTTAAGTCATTTTATATATGAAACAACCTTTTGGTAAGTCAAATACAAAGTGAAATGGGTAAAAATGTAATTTTAATGTGAAAAGTAGCTTGAGACCACTAAAAAGCGACATTTGAAATGTGAGTGAAAAACGGATCAAACGTTTATTAGGTTAGTGATAGTTATTTTCGAAAGATGTCTCTATGTGTGATTTGGCCAAACCTCATAGGGTGTTACTGAAACTAGCCAAAAAAAAATTTTGATATTTATCGGACATCTTTGCCCAAATTTCATCACTTTAAAATTATGGGATAATTTCACTGACACCCCCTAAGGTTTGGCCAAATATCAGTCTAAAATATCTTTCGAAAATAACTATCACTCACATTACAAACGTTTGCTCCGTTTTTCACTTACACCCCAAAAGTTTGGCAGGTGTGTCAGACTACTTTTTACATGTAAAAAGATATTCTTACCGTTTGACTTTGGTTTGACCTATTTAATTATTTTTTATGATTGAAATGACATATTTACCCTTAATCCATCATCATTATCAACATAATCCATCATCATCCATTGTCAACATGAATCCTAAAATAATTGCATGGTACAAACAGACATCCTCCAAGACACTCTACCCACCCAGCAATCAAGTTGGGGAAGAACGTTATATTCTGCTTGCTTGTTGCTTCTCCTCATCACTTCCACCGTCACCACCGAAGTGGAATAAGGCTTCCAAACAAATATAAGCTTTCAGTATACATTCTATACCATAAATCTCAATATCTTTTATTGTTTTCGTTTTTAAATCATACCAAATAAACCTTTCATCATCCTGTACAAGTAGTAGCAGTAGTACTTCCCTACCGGTTTTTGAAAAACCCAGAGGCTTCAAAATCTCAAACCCCATAAAACAATTTAATCCAAGATTCTTTAACTCCATACTCCTTCATTACCCATATATCAACACCTACACTACGACTGTGGCACCGACCGATATTCTTCAACCCCAAGATCAAATATAGCAATCAACTTGGCCCTATCTGACAAACGTTGTCTTCGTCTCACAACCTAGTGCAAAGCCCTACTAACAAGTATAGCATTCGATGCCATATAAAAGAGATTATAAGGAAAATCTTGAACTCTTCTTCAGGAATTCAACTTTAGGCTGTAAACCTTAACTTCAGAGTCGAATGAATCATCACCATTGCCAACATACTCTGTTATTCTCACCACCTTGTAGTCATCACTGACACAATCATACCACAATTCACAGTAATTTATTTTCGGTTCTGTTATCCGTTATGGATTTTTTATCATTGACGCACCTTGTAGTCATCACTGACACAAACATTGCCAACATACTCTGTTATCCGTTATGGATTTATTATTTTTGGTTCCCCTATTTTTCCCTCTGCCGAATCAGTCTCGCACCGTTGCCGGACCAGTGCACGCAGATTTATACAATCAATCAAGTTCTGCATCTCCAAATTTGTCGTCGTAGTTTCTGATTGCCGAAACAGTTCTTGCTAAACTGTAAGTTCAGTCCGTGCCCACCGGCTTAGTTCGTGTCTCGCCGGGCACGACAGTTCTTGCTTCTAGAGGAGATCTATTAAGATCTTCGCCAGAAACTTCAAACCCGGGCCATGGAAATCTTAGCGGTCGTGGTCGAGAAAGATCCATCACATCTTATTTATCCTCCACTCCATACTCATTAAACCATTCGGACGGAGACTATAATCCCGAGGCAGATCTGTGCATGCACCTTCGCCGGTGATTTGTACAATCAATCAAGTTCTGCATCTCCAAATTTGTCGTCGTAGTTTCTGATTGCTGGAACAGTTCTTGCTAAACTGTAAGTTCAGTCTCCTCGGTTCAGTCCGTGCTCACCGGCTCAGTTCGTATCTCGCCGGGCACGACAGTTCTTACTTCCTACCGTTCCGTGCTCGCCGTCGTCACCATCTTCCATCGTCTACTCCTAATAGTCGTTCAGATCCGCTCATATATATATATATATATATATATATATATATATATATATATAATTTGTAATTTTATAAAAAAAAAAAAAGAATTAGGGACAAACATGTCTTTTCACATGTTTTTAATGGAGGCAGTAACGGAAAAGTGAAATTGGACCTAACTGATAGTTATTTTCGAAAGATGTTTTAAACTGATATTTGACCAAACCTCAGGGGGTGTCAGTGAAATTAACCCTAAAATTATTCTTGAAAATTATTCCATTTTTTAAAAAATATTCTTGAAAGCTAAGCGTTGAGGTGCTCCTTGTGTCCCAAAGCCCATTTTCGAGCCTTACACCCACCCCTCTAACCACTAACCACAAACATTCTTCCCATAAAAAAATAAAATAAAATTGTTCTTGAAAATTGAAGTTAAATATTATAGGAAATTATATAATTGACTTAAAATTATTCCATCAGTTTAAAATTATTATTGGGCCTCTTTCCACTGAGGTGGCAAAGAAACATTGTCCACGTGTTAAGTCGGCTAAGTATAAAAAAATAAATAAATAAATCCAATCATTTAAAGTAGCACAACTCAAATGGATTGTTTTGTATGACATGACAAATTATTGTTATCCACGTCTTAAATTGCTAAGTTGTTAGTTTTTTAAGTCATTAAACGTAGCTCTGCTCTAACATTAGTCTCTTTCACGACTCTTTCTCTCTCATCTTGGCTTTTTTTTTTTTATCCTTTTTATTCGGGTATCTCCCTCTACTCTCCTCTAGCTCGTCCCTCTTTTTTTCGAGTGCAGGCTTGGTGTTATGGTTCCTTGCAATTTGTGTGGGATGCTTTGATTATCTTCGAGAAAACGATTACGTGCCTCCAAGTCTGAATTTTTTAAAATTTTATTTTTGCTATATTTGTAAATGCAAGTGATTTTTTGTGATGTATTATAATTATTTTTTTTCAAAACCTTACAAAGTTTATTCAATAACATTTTTTTCTTGATAATTGATTTTCAATTCATGGAGGTCCGTTATAATGTGTCTCATATTATTGAAAGTTGATGTTATTCGAAGAAGTCCGATCGGTCGCATTGTCACAGATCGATAGCACTTTCTCAGTTGGGAGTTATAAGAAATGTGTTCGGTTGCACTTTTTTGGGAATATTCATACTTGCCTAATATATGCGATAATTGTTTCCTTATTTGAAAATTTGATTTCTTAATGATTGTAGACTAGTAAGACAAGTTGTTTATCTGTCATTAAGGAATTTGATTATAAGGCAAGTAGTGCACACCAAGGAATTATAATCCTTGCAAGTAACGGGTTTGAGTGAATAATTGATGGAAGGGAGAGTGGGTGCAGTGGTAGATAGATGTTAAGGTGACCTCACATGTGAGTGGTAGCTATATTTGAGGTAGCCTCATGCTTTATGAATATATATATGTGTGTGTGTGTGTGAATCATTGTATTTATGCAATTGTATACATATTCTCCATTCATTATAGTAAAGTTATTCTCTCCGTGGATACATCCTTAGTTATGGTGAACCACGTAAAATATTGCACGTGTTGATTGCATGTGTGTGTTGATGTGTGATTGAATCTCTATGCACGCTTGTGATGTGATGTGATGTGATGATATGATTTGCTTCCGTTATGCTAAACAAAGGGGATTTATTCCCAACAACTAGTATCAAAGTTGTGTTGCTTATGTGTGTCCTAACAACTTGTATAAAAACTTTTTATTTATGTGTGCCCTAATAATTAATATCAGAGCTGATGGTTTTTCTTGGAAGGTTCATCCTTTATCAAAGTCGAAGGTTCGTTGTGTGAAGTTTGTTAGAGCTGAAAGTTTATCCAGGATATTCAATATAAGAATAAAGAAATGTGTGTTCACCTAAAAATAACAGTTGAGTAGGGGTGGCAATATATATTTGACACGACACGCTAACATGACACGAGATAAGTGGATTTGGGTTTGGGTTAATCGTATTCGTATCATAATCGTGCTGACATGGATTGACCCGTTAACTAAACGTGTCGTGTTCGTGTTTGACCCTTCTAACACAATTAACTAAATGTGTCAGATAAACGTGTCGAATTCGTATAAAAAATGACTTATTCAGCTAAACGCGGAGAATAAATATGTTGTGTCTATGTCAAAAATGACTTAAACGTGTCTTTTCGTTTCATTTCGTGTCGTATTAAGTCTTGACCCATTTATTAAACGGGTTACGCATGTCATGTTACACGTATAATAATCGTATCGTATTCGTATCAAGAAGTCTTGACACGATTAATAATCGTGTTATGTTCGTGTCATAATCGTGTTGACACGAACACGACCCGTCAACACGAATAGCCGCCCATACAGTTAAGTTAATGAAAATGTAGTCCCACAGGAAGTGGGTTTGCTCTTAACCCGAAATCAATAGTGGGTTTACTAGAAGCCAAAAAGATCAATGAGTTGGTTGATAGACTTCCTTTAAGTTAATGAGTGAGCCAGTGAATTGGTTAAATTGGTTAAATTAATACCTTAACCTCAAAGGCCACAAAAATCTATGGCAAAAGTGCAAAAAAACCCTTAAGGTTTTACCAAGTGAGCACAATACCCTTTTGTGGTACAAAAGTGAGTAAGTCAATCCTTATAGTTTCAAAAGTGAACAACTTACCCCATTGGATTTCACTTCTAATCACTTTCCGTCCGATGTCATTGTGTATTTATCAAACTACCCCTTATAATTAATTTTTTTTAAAAGTAAAAAAATATAAAAGGCAAGATATCTTAAATGCGCTCTATAATGACCTGAGGCGTTACATCATCCTAAAATTGACTTAAGTGTTGTAACTCCTCATATGTGCCTTTGCCTGGATTATGTAAACTTTGGCCTAATTATTATTATTATTAGTGATAAAGTAATACTTATATCATGTGTTACATTGGTTCATGTCTACTTGGTGCCAACTTCAGGTTAGATATGGTAAATCTGAAGGATTTTTCCAGTGCCAACTTCAATTTGGATAGTCCTACTTATACATATTTAACGTACCTTTCACGATTTTATTATATCATCAACTACATATTACAATACAGACCATTTGATATAATCTAGTTCGAAAAACTCTTATAGTAGCTGGAAGAGATAGAAGTGAAAGAAATAAACGTTAACATATATATGGTCCAAGAATAATATATATATATATATATATATATATATATATATATATAAATGTTTAAATGAGCTAACCTTGGAGGGAGAGCATAAAGAGCAAATGCAAACGGAAAGGAGAAAACGTATATAAATGGGTTTGATTGCAACAAATGAATGAAAAGGCTTTTTTATAGAAGATGGGGGTATAACGATCATGTTGAATGGTACTATTGGGATTAATAAAAAAAAATATCAATAACGTGTATCACAAAATGGATTGAAATTGGTCGGAAGTGAAATGCAATGGACAAGTTGCTCATTTTTGTACAAGAACTGGGTTGCCCACTTTTATACAATAGGGATATTGTACTCGCTTGGTGAAACTTCAAGGAGATTTTTTGCCCTTTTGCCAAAATCTAATTTGGGAGTATTCCTAATTAAACTAGCAATGGGATCATAAATTAATTTTTAACACAACTAATGAGCAATCAAGGACAAAATTAGTCACCATAATCACACATAAAAAAAAAAAAAACAAAAAAAAGATATAACAAATTAAACTGAATATTAAAGTTAATCCTCCATCTTTCAAATAAAAAAGAAAAAAAGAAAAGCTGCAATAACCAAATTAGATACAACAAATATAATATGAAGAATAGTGATACTCATACCGAGCACTTGCAGTGAATTGTTTAATCGAATAATTTTTAATTGGTTATTTATATTAAATACAATTAGGTGGAATACTCCACTTTCTTATCTGTTGCATAATTTACCAATTAAAAGAATAAGTCTAGTAATTTACTGTAACTATTCGGTGTAAGAATCATTTTTCTTTGAGGGATGAAAAAGACTTATCTTCGTAACAACTTTGCTAAGAAAAATTAAGAAAAGTAATTCCCCCATGCCAAATTAGATGGGACTGAAAAGAAAGATGACGTAAAGGATTTACATATTAAGGAGTATCATATATTCCGTAATAACTGATAGTTCGAATGTATGAAAAATTAATAAGTGATAGTTCAATTAAAAAATTTTAATAATAAAAAAAGTAGATTTACAAAAATATAAAAAAATTTGAATTAAATCTGAACATAAATTTTTATTGAATTGATGCGCTAAAGTGATTTATGATTGTATCTCATCCTTAATTATCTACTAATAATTTTTTTAATTAAAGCAAATTATTTAAAGAATAAAGGTCGCTTAACACGCATGACATGACATACGGAAGTACATAAAAATCAGTAAAAGAGAGGCTCGGAGTTACAAGGATCACGATCCGTGTGCTCAAACAGAGTCGAATCCTGACCGCTCATTACTCCCAAAATCCAACGTTCCAAATTCACTCGCGCCATACTCCCCCAAAAGTTTCAAATTCTCTCATATCACCGCCTCTCCCTCCTCACCTATATATATATATATACACACCACCATACATCAGTCACTCTCACACTCACATCCTGCATCCAATACAACAAGCAACTCTCTATCTCCCTCTTTCTGAAGCTCATATTTCCTCTCTCTTGCCTCTACCATGGCCAGAACCAAACAAACTGCCCGCAAGTCCACCGGAGGCAAGGCACCGAGAAAGCAACTGGCGACCAAAGCCGCCCGGAAATCAGCCCCGGCCACCGGAGGAGTGAAGAAGCCCCACAGGTTTAGGCCAGGGACGGTGGCCCTCAGGGAGATAAGGAAGTACCAGAAGAGCACCGAGCTTCTGATCCGGAAGCTTCCATTCCAGAGGCTGGTGAGGGAGATCGCTCAGGACTTCAAGACCGACCTCAGGTTCCAGAGCAGCGCCGTCGCAGCGCTGCAGGAAGCGGCGGAGGCATACCTGGTGGGGCTCTTCGAGGACACCAATCTGTGCGCGATTCACGCCAAGAGGGTTACGATTATGCCCAAGGATATCCAGTTGGCGAGGAGGATCAGAGGCGAGAGAGCTTGATTTGTGATAAATGTCGTTAATTTCGTGTCTGTAGTGCTTGTAGTTTTTTTCTAGGGTTTGTGTTGATGTGAATCATCTGGCGATGAAATTTAGGCAGCTTTAATTGAAAAACTTATGTTTATCTATGGAAATTTGGCAATGAAAACTATTATCCAGACCTGTGTCTCTAGCACTGTGTGCGCACATACACAATCTTGTGAAGCTTGCTTTCTGGAGTGTTTGTTTCCATGGAAAATTGTTAATGAAAAGTTTTCCAAGGAAAATTTGACATGGTGTTTCAAATATGCAGGTACACAGTAATTTGGACATTTTGTGTTGTTACTTTGGGCAAATGCAATCATTTTACAAATCACAATATTTAAATAATATATGTATATATTTAAATTAGAGTACATATAAGCTGAAGCTTGGGAAGTTAATTAAAATGGACAAACTGCAAAGAAATGAAGAATGAAAGAGATGAGATGGTTTTCAGCAAGTTTGATTTCAAGTCTCTGGAAAATATTTTTTTACATTTTATAAAGTTTGGATGCACATATTACATATAAAAATGACTTGCATATATGATGGACAAGAAATACCACAAATCTCTCCATTTCCTTAGCAATGGAAGAGTAAAAATCAAATTAAAATGTGACAGTCACAACAATACACAATTTTAGATGGTCTAGTATGTAGCTTGACTGAAAAATGCAGTAACAATGTCTTCTCCCCCTTCTGACCTGCACTTGTTTTTGAATTTATGCTCCATGGGACCATTCAGACTATGCTAGGTGGTTCCCCTTCCCAATTGCAAATGGCATGGGGCCAACGCGTTCTAATGCATTCCACCAATGGTGCATGCCGGGAAGGCTCGGGTTCAGCCACTTGAAGAACAGTATCTTCCATGTTTAAATCATACCCCCACAAACCAGAAGAAATTACTGCATCTGTCATGAATTGCTCGGGAGTCCACTTTGGAGGAACTGAAACCCTCAATTTTGTGAGTCTCGGTCTTTGCATCGAAGTCTGACCTCCAGAGATTGATTGCCTGCTATTCAAAACTGATTTTGCAATCCCATTAAAATGATAAAGATCAAACACCTTCCTCCCCATAAGACCAGTTGAATCCTTTAAGCCTCCCAAACCCTGGTCTAAATCTATAAGAACCTGCAAGAACTCGCTCCATAGAATAAGGCCTGTACTGCGAAGTCGATCCAGCTTCTCATCTGGAAGGTAAATACTTGTTTCCTGGAGCACTTGATGGAACCCTTCCACTTCGATGAAGCCGCCACCTCCACTCTGATCTTGTGCATCAAAAGCTCTCCGGATCTGTGTTTCTCTCTCTTCAAGTTCGTTCTCGTTTTGAACAGAGGTGTCAAGGGCAAACAAGACTGTATAGTGAGACTCGCTTCCAACAACCCATATTGGCCATTTTGGGCATTTCAGAGAACCGCCAACCTTACAGTAATTAAACGACTCCAGCAGAGTAAGGAATCCAACTTCCACAATTGTAGAAATACCTTTCACAAACATGCCACCACCTAAGTCCATTCTCCCATCGAACACATTAGTGACAGCCTGCCCGGAAAGTAGTAAGTTTACAATTTCCTGTTCCATGACACCCAAGGCTTAGGCATAATATACTATAATTACCAAGCAAATCATAAAACAAAGATTCATAAGGGTAGTATCCAATAATATCAATTACGGAAACACCAAAAGAGACAAATGGATGTGCCATTGATCTGTAGATACCTGTGAGGCATGTCCAAATGGAGCAGTGACTAAAGATTGACTGGGATCATCTCTGTCAGCTTGAACAGAGTCCTAAAAGGCAAAAGGACAATTTTTTAAATCATTAGTATCATGAATAGCTTGAGAAAAGAGATTAACAAAATTGCAGTTAGTGCATAGCACTTAACTTTCACCTGACCTAGCTACTCAGCTACATGTACAGAAAACTTAAACTGTCTAGGGCATTGTGAATTATCCAAAAAGGATTTTGTAGTCTAGCAAATAAGGAAAAATCATCCAATCATCCCCCCTTATTTATTTATTTTTATTTATGTTGAATCAGACTCGATCATTGTTGGGTTCCTGTTCTTCCTTTGCATGTCACTTGAGTAAAAAAGTCTGGCTTCCAATATGATCAGAACAAAGGTCCCACTTCATGGTCTTGGCTGATACTGAATCATTCCAAGATTTCCTTGTATGACATGTCAGGTCTCATTTGGTAATTTTCTAAACTCACACACGACCATGTTCAGTAACTGAGTAAAGTTACCGGATTGCACTCATCTCTTGGTTTCAGAAAATTTCATAAGCCCCACATCACAGCAAAAAGAAAAAATGAAAGGAGGTAGAATAACAACAGAATAACTTAAAAGAGGCATCTTTGTTAACTAAAAAAGCATACCGGTCCTCGCGAAAGTAAAGCAGAAATAAGGAATAACATTGCCCCCATACGGCTTCGGAAAACAGAGATCATTGCTTCGAGCCTCTGCAGTACAATTGCCCGCGAGGAGTATGTGTAAACTCTCAAATATTTCTGCAAATCAGAACCTGATTCAATTGAAAGACCTTCAAGTGCCTTTCCAATGATCTGTGAGATGGGACATAACACAAGTCAATAAATTAAATATGCAGAATATAAGGTGCAGCAAAGTGATACAGAAGTTCACAACCCTAAATTTTCCATTTCAACTAATTTCCCAAGCAAACACTGCAGAAGTGATTCAGTATAAACCTATATGCAACTTACCTCATCCTTCCTGATGTCTGCAGATACCCCAATCTCACTATCAAGAATGCTTAGAGTTGCAATCACAGCCCTTTTATTACTTCCACATAGAAATAATATCTCACCCATACTTCTGACCAAGGCTCTGTAAAAAGTTTTGAAAAAAAAAAGAAGTTTCAAGTATTGCCCAAGAGGTAAAACAATTATAGAATGATTCACTAAAAAGCTTTCACCAAAATCTCATAAATGAACTAATATAGCATACCAACTTGTCGTTATTGAATGAACTTTACCTCATGCCCTGCTCACTTACAGAAATAACAACTCCTTGAGGATATAAAGTTTGCATACTTTTAAAACTAAAACCTTCATATATATGAGTTGTAGGACTTTGCATCCAGCTGAATTCAGATTGATATATAAAAGCAAAACTAGTCCATGTAAAAGAAAGCTAAACCGGAGAATTGATTTACACCATTAAGATCTGGGAACATTTATGAACAGGAAGATCCGCCACAACTGAACTCAAAAATTGCTATATGTGGAAACAACCTCCATATAAGCAGGAAGCAGAAAGTGATCCTAATATCGACGAGAATGGTTCAACTCAACTGAACTCAAGAAAGCCTTTTCTCAACTATTTGGGGTTGACTACCGTATTGATTATGGAAAAAGTTTTACTTTGGTCGTCAAAGCTACCTAACGAAACCCTCCTCCTTTTTTAGGGCTTGGAACCGGCTGTTTAAAGACAAGGAACTAAGTATGACGTAGGCAGTAATTCACAATAACCATTGCATGAGCAAATCGAAAGGAAAAAAAAATACTAATAATTTCAGTCATAGAGATTAATACTTCATATGGAAAAAATATTCAACATCAAACAAACATCGGCAATGCTACATGAGATTTAGCACATCGTGCTTGAGGATATAAAAATTCCAATCATCTTCAATAGACTAAAATTATTATCAAAGTTTCTGAAACCAGTGGAAGCCAATAAGGCAATAAGTTACAAATTCTGGTAATTTGTGTTAGGGATAAAAGTAAACCAGAGAAGAGGATCAATGAACATAGTGATATAAGTGACTAATTGACAAGTGCTTTGGTTAAGGCTTATAGGGAAATTCACATGTGACTACCAGGAATCACCATGCAATTTGGAGCAATTCAAGGGGCATTGACTTTCCTCATGCTGGGTTTTATGAAAACACGCATTAACTTTTTCGTACAATGTTGGAATGGTGCAATTTTGGTGCCATTAGAAAGCTTTGGAGGAGTACTATAGAACCAGTAAGTTACCCTAGAAAAGTAATAGTTGGTGGCTATTTGAAATCCCTCAAGATCATAGTCAACGCGAAAACCATTTCATCTGGAAGGTTATAGAAGTCGGTACAAGATGCTTTTTCAATGCACTCAGCAGGCTGGTTAGGTCCATTTTCTTGGTTGGCGCAAACTGTGAAGTTGGTTGCAGACTTATTACTTATAGCAAGCACCTTCTTTAATAGAATTACGAGGACATAAAGTTGAGGACCCAAAAAGGAACCTCCTTCATTGTTTTTGGTACAGAACAAGATTTAGAGTAATATAATTCCCCACTAAATAATTCAGGTACTCTTTATCCTAGTTTTCTTCTGGTTTTTCTGATTATCTAGAATCCAAGCATAGAGGATTAAAGGGAGAAATCGCTTTTGTCCTATCCCGGATCACCAGCATAACCTCTTCGATTACTATAAGGTGCGTATGAAGTTATGAACAGAGATGAAACTTTAAAATGATGGGAACAAAACTCTTGAATGATTTTTACTGATTATGAAGTTGATTCGTTTATTTATTTGTCACGGATTTCATGGAACATCAAAGCCCCAATATAAAAGAGAAAAAATAGATAATTTACACATGCCAGATGGATGCAGGTCAAACACAGCAAAAAAAGTTGAGAAAGAAACAAGGAGAATTGTCCTAGAAGTCGGAAGAGTTATAAATAAAAAATCAAAGCTGCGACAAACATTCAAAACATGGTATTTATTTATTTTTTTTTATAAGTAATAATAACATAAAAAGGCGTTCAAAAGGGGAACGCGTCCCTTATACAAAAGTGGAACCAGGACGAAACATGGTATTTATAAAAATTCAAAGTTGTGACGAATATTCGAAACATGGTAACGGTTGCTTGACAGCAGTTACAGAAGTAAATTCACTGTAACAGGGATCATTTGGAGATTTTAATTTTATAAGTAAATCCCAGAAACACACCCCGCTTAATATATATAGCTATGCTATTCTCTGGAGCATTGAAGCTTAAATGTTAAAAATAAAGGCAGAGTGCTACTGTTGATGAAAATGACAATCCCCCTTTTGGTAACATAAAGATGATGCTCCTTTTCAATTCAAGTAAATGATTATCGCCTTCCCCAATATTTCAGAAATTCCACATGTTGTTGGTTCAAGACCTGGCACGGAAAGTACGTTTTCTATTTTCTATTTAATGTTCGTGTGTGATATTAATCAATGATATCACCAAGCTAAAATAAATAAACTAAAATCCAAAGAATAATTACCTTGATTTTCTATCTTCAGTAAAAGAAGCAAAATTATTTGATGAAACATATTCCCTTTCAAACAATGTCCTTAAACCCGACTTTTGTGGCATGACTTGTGCAACTTCACCTAATTCCTCTGGATAGAACAGAAGGTATTTGAGAACAAATGCCTGCACAACCAAACAGAATATATTGTCAGCAACATCATGGAAGATTATGTCGAATCCTAAAAGAAGACAGGACACAGACGAAAATCAAGAAGATAGAACAGTTAATTGCATAAACAATATACACATTGTAATTGTATTCACAAAATTTTTGTTTTGAAATTATAATAGTGATGGATATTGTGTCAATTGCACATCAAGATACAATATGTTAGAAGAAGGAAAATTTATGTTACTACTAGAGCGAGAGATACAGTGATAGAAAAAACACGATAAAGAATTAATACACTGTTAAGGATTTCAATTGAGTTATCTTAATAACCAAGGTCAGAGTTGGGAACCGTCATCAGTGCTAACGTCCGGTGTGCAATTACGATATTTTAATGTTTATTTTATTTTATTTTATTAAATCAATATGAGCAAACTACAATAAATACAAAATGTCTGCAGTACGAAAATGTACTGGGGAATATATCCTCATATTTCATACTTAGAATACATATACTTTTAATTTAAAATGTATAGTTAATAACTTAATAATTGTTACACAAATTGATGTGAAATTCAAGTCACCTAGGGGAAGTACTAAACAGAACTTTGTCACATTTGATATTGTTTTACTTTAATTCATATATTACTAATTTTCCTGAAAGGGTCGGGCCTAAACTCCACACAAACTTCTTAGGGGTGTACCTAGGCCATAAAGCTTGTGCCCAAGCTAGGTCAATCCAAGATAGAATCACCATTGTACCATTACATATATTGTGTGGTCAAAGCCCATTATCACCCTTCCACTAAAGTTTCCAAATAGTAAATCACAGATTTTGATTTGTGGCGATAACAATGAAATGTTGATGCTGCCCTTCCCTTTTAAGGTCATGCCCCCACTTTTAGCAGCAATGCATAAATAAAATTGTTAATTAAACTTATTTTATGTCTTTATTCTCAATGCAGATGTCTGTTGTTCAGAGATTGAATGTGATCCAGAGGAATTTTTTGTGGGGAGGTATGAATGGTGAGCCAAAATACCACTTGGTGAATTGGGACAGAGTGTGCTCCCCTATTCAAAAGGGGGGCCTGGGGATTCGAAGATTGGATTTGTTTAACAAGGCTTTGTTGGGCAAATGGCTTTGGAGATTTGGGGTCGAGAGGGCCAGATTATGGAGGAGGGCCATTGCTTGTCGCTGGGGAAGGATGAGGGCAGGTGGTTGTCTAGGGAGACGAGATCACCAGCGGGCGTGGGTGCTTGGAATCTTATTCGAGAGGGTTGGGATGAGTTTTCCAAACACATCCGGTTCAACATTAGGAGTGGGAGACACGTTAGGTTTTCGGAAGATTGCTGGTGCGGGGACTTTGTGTTGGCTCGTAGGGTTCCTCGGCTTTTCAGAATCTCCACGACCAGACATGCTCGGGTTGCTGACTATTAATAACGGGAGGTGGATTTGGGACGTGTAGTTAGGAAGAGATTTTCATGATTGGGAGCTTACGGAGGTCACTAAGTTCCTACTTCCTAGCTTTACTCCACAGACAGGTGGTGGAGGGCGAGGGGATGGATGAGATAGTTTGGGCGGGGTCCTCCAGAGGAGTTTTTGAGGTTAGGTCTTTCTACCGAAGCTTGTCTGAGATTCCAGTTCCTTCTTTTCCTTGGAATCCGTTGAAGGTGGCTTTTTTCTCTTGGTCAGCTACCCTCAGAAGTATTCTCATTCTTGATAATCTTAGAAGGAGGTGACATTCTGTGGTGAACTGGTGCTGTATGTGCAAGAAGACGGAAGAAACTGTGAACCACCTCCTTCTTCATTGCACAGTGGCGAGGGATGTTTGGACTATGTTCTTAGTAGTGTTTGGCATGTTTTGGGTGTTTTCCGGTTCTACGGTGGACACGATAGAGGCTTGGAGAGGGTGTATAGCGGGGAGCAAAGCCAAAGATGTGTGGAGGGCCACTCCCCTTTGTTTATGGTGAGGCTTGTGGCATGGGAGAAATAGGAGATCCTTCGAAGGAGAGAAAACTCCAATTTGGGCTCTGAAATCTACTTTATTCTTTTGGGTTTATGGGCGTAATTGTAAATCAATGGGGCATCTTTTGGATTTTGTGAATAGCTTGAAATTATAGTGGCCGCCTTTGGCGCCTTGTGTTTTCTCTTGGGAGAGCTCCCCTTTTGAGCGCCTTTAATGAATTCTTACTTGTCAAAAAAAAAATTGTTAATTAAAATTGAAAAACATGAATACCTTTTTTCTAAAAATAATACAAAGAATTTGAACTATAATAAAATACAATTTTGAACTAAAATGAAAAATAATATAATCACATAATGATATTCCCTCCATCCCAAGAAAAGTAATTGTCATAGAAAATCCCACTTTTTAAGTAGACAAGGCTTTAATGCATTCACACTAAAAAGAAATATGTAGATCTCCAAAACTACCCTTCTTTCACATTTGTTCCAAAACTGCCCCTCTTTCACATTAGTTAATTCATTTACTGGAAAGGAGTACTTTGGAAACTTGATAAAACATTTCGTAAGTTGACTTTCCAAAGCGGAAATCTCCTGCGGGACATTCAGAAAGAAAAATGGACCGACTTTTTGAGGATATAGGGAGTAGTTACCTGAAACTAAAGGAAGCTTTTTCAGATATATAGATAGATAGATGCCTCCTATACAGATTTTTTGAGTCACAGAATCCGGGATGTTATGAACCCAAAAAGGGAAAGTTCAGCCTAGATTTTAGAAGTTGCAATGATAGAAAAAATTAGATATAGAAACGAAAATGTTGGGAGGCCAAACATCAGAATATCAGGTAAACTCTGCATGTATTTTCAACAAATCAAACAGTAGAAGCTATAAATAAAAATGAAGTTCTACTGAAATTAAATAACATAAACTCCAATAGGATCATCTCCTGACATTATAGTTTTACGAGGCACTATTACATGGACAGTGGCTCTAAGTTTTATAATTTATCACCATATTCCACCACTCATAAACATTTCAAAATGAATGAAATTCAAATAGAAAACATGACACAGAACCATACGCATCGATAAGGAATAAATTTGTCATATATTTTAAAAACTTCCAAGAATGAATTCCACTTCACTATGCAACTCAATATTAAACAAAAGTTAAGAGTTATAGAAGCCTGTTGCTGCACAACTCATTCCAATTGTAACTTGAAACTTACCAAATTTCTAGAAAATTAATATCAAAAGTTAGCTGTTCAGAACACGGAAGTGAGCGTTGATAGACAAGGCAGTTAGTGTCGAACAGTTTACACTCACATGCATGCTACAAAAAAAGACATTTTGTTGAAATTTAAGTGTTATGCTTGCGGAGGTAAAGTAAGAAATCAAGGCATTACTTGAATGGCTGCCAATACACCACACGCCCCACCTTCATGCTGCACTAAGCCCATAGATGTTTCTGGATCAGGGCTAAACCTATAGGAAAGTTTTGCATAGTATGAGCAAATAAAGGGTATGATATTGTAAATACCACTAAGATATAATGCTCAACTATTCAGAAAATAGAAGATGGAGACCCCGGAATCCACAGGAAAAAAATGAAGAATTTGAGCAAAATAAGATCCCGACCCACAAGTAGAAGATAGAGGCAGCATGCACGAATGTTTAACAAAGGGAAGAAGCCCGCTATAATTCTAAATACCACTAAGATTTAATGCTCAACCATTAAGAAAAATAGAAGATAGAGACCCCGGAATCCACAGGGAAAAAAATAAAGAATTCAAAGAAAATAAGATCCCAAGCCACAAGTAGAAGATAGAGACGGTATGCATGAATGTTTAACAAAAGGAAGAAGCCCGCTATTATTTTCTTTACTGTTGACTAATAATTCAATAACATAAAATAGGAACAGGAGGGAATTTGGGGGAAGGAACATAATTGATCAGAAGTAAAAAGAGAATCAAAATTTAATAACAGCTCACTCCTATATGGATATGTTAAATAAAGAAATTCACTCACTTTGTCACAGTCATTGCTATTATGTAATGGATACGAGAAATATAACTAAAGGGAAATTGAGATTTTAGTTGGTTATAATAAATCAAACAATAACCAAAGGTTAGCAGGTGACAAATAGTAAGAATCGAGCATCAGCTCTGCAATTGACGACAGAAGCAAACTAGAGGAAGTGTACAATAAATATAACCGCCTCAAATAACATCAGGGATGCTTGAATCTTCATTTTACTATCTCAACACAGACACATACAAAGTCATATATATGTGGGAAAAATTGGCATAACCACAATTACAAGATTTTCAGACTTTCAGTTGTGCCCCTATTAGGTAGACATCCCCACTTGGGTTCCGAAAGTGTCAAGCATCTTAGTCCGATGCCCAGTCTACACATAATTAAAGGGCCAACAGAAATTTAAAACAGTTGAAATTCCAAACAGAAAAAGCTCGAACTCTCAAACTGTCATTTCTTCCAAAAGGACCCAAAACAAAAAGTCCGTCAAAGTACATATGCTTAAATTAAAAAATTGAAACAAAGAGAGTTATTTTAGTTCCCTTAATTTTCTTTAGGCCTTTTTCTTCAGTTTTTTAGTTAAGTCAAGTTAAGAATCAAAAAAAGTATTAAACAAATGAAAAAATTTTAGCTCCCTTACTGAGACAATGATATTCAGAAGCCAGTTTCCATAAAGTGTCTTAACAAACTTCCATAAGTTTTGGTACATGTCTTTAGCAACAGAGCACCATAAAGGCATGAAACCAAATACTCGTTCTTTTAAATCACTTTTAACCATGTAAAACAGCATAAATCTCCTGAAAGGCACAAGTATAGGCAATATGAAATGTGCAAGAGAAAATAATTTGGAAAGGAAAAGGAGGATGGTATTCCTTTCTTCATTTATATTACAAAAGCAAAACTAAGAAACAAACAAAGGACAATACTATATCAAAGACACATCGAGTCAACCATAATCACACTGCTTCGGCCATACCTAATCAGTTATAGCAGTTTGATTTCTCCACAATATAACTTGGTTTCACCAGCATTATAAGTAATAAAGAATTGAATCAAGCTATTTAAGACATAAGAAACTAAGAAAATCAAGATTGACACCGAGGTAAATCAAATTCAACAAAAACCATTCATCATTAGACAACGCATTGATGTTAAAATCAACAGAGATAAAATGATAAAATCAATATGCCTTCAGAGGAATATATATATATATATATACACACACACACACGTTCTTGATAATATCAAATTATATAAGCCTAGTTTGCCATGGCATTCCAAATTAAAAGCTCAAACAAAGAAATACAAACTGAAAAATATTCAAATTCAATTTAAGACAACCATACCTAATACCCTGATTACTCCATTGCACAAGTATATTCTTGGTCACTTCACTACCGAAAACCATGGAAAACAACTGATTCGCCTCGTCTGCCGAAATCTCCTTCCCCAAATTCACATTTCCCCCCTCAGAGGCATCTACACCACCAATTTTCTCTTCCTTCGCGTCCCCAACATTGCTCTCCACCTTCAAAGGTGAACTTACAGACGCAGCATTCTTTGCCACCATCATTGCCTTCTCAGCCGCGACTGACATCAGTGCCACCTCCGGCGACTCCGCTTGACCATCGCCTCCGCCGGTGTTTTCTCTCGGTTCACTCCTTTTCTGCCCAGGCGAATCGTGCTGCATACTCATCCTCATCTCCACCTGCAGATCGTCCTCCTCTTGATCCACCATTGAATCTGTCTCTCTCTAAACTCCCTCTCTCAATCACTGTCAAGTCTAATGAAAAAACTTTAATCTTGACCTAGACTTAAAAATTTAGGGCATCGATTCGATTTCGATCCTAATATTTGCATATAGGTACACGTACATGCATGTATGCGGCTGTATAGCTTGTGATCAAACGAGTAATTTGTGTAGAACAATCAAACGGAAATAGATACAAAATAAAGATCAATTCTTGAAAAGCTGCGGCTGTCAGTGATAACGTGTGTGGGGGGAATAGAATTTTGATTGTGGAAAAAAGGTAAGATTGTGAGAGTGATAAATCGTTATCAAGGCCAATCTCAATATTCGATATACTTGACAGAGACAATGAGGACCTGAGTTGGCTATCAAAGGACCATTTTATGCCTTAATTTATTACTCCGTGTATATTTATGAGCAGTCGTACAAATCTTGAATTAAAATTTAGAGACTTTCCTACATATAAGTGCTGGTAGCAAAACTTTATTACCAAATCATTGATGTAATTTGCATATTTACTAGAACGTGAACAAAAAGTGAAAACCTTCATTTTGAACTCTTTTATAAGTTAAAATTATATTTTCATTCTTAAAATTTATTTTAGAAATTTTTACATATAAATGGAGTTAAGGAGCCATATTTACTTATGGATGAAGTCAAAGTCTTATATTTTCACAAAAATGAGTTAGACCTAAATAATGACATGGCACATGAAGTTTTACTGTTTAAAATTTTTGTTACCTAAAAATGCCCTTCTCCCTATTTCAATGCATTTACCTTATCACCCTTGTTTAGAAAACATGGTACCTGGAGGTCAAAAAGTGGTACATTCAGTTCAAAAACGTGGTATCTTTAGAACAAAAGTGGTACATTCGTAAAAGGGAATTGTTTTTGCAATTGAAAATGACATTAAACCCCACACCGCTAATTAAGTTGCACATTACATCCATAAACAGCTCCATTAGCGCCATGAATAATACAAAATATTCTTCAAACTAGCTAAGCGAGTGTTAAAAAAACATGATACCTGAAGGCTAAAAAGTGATACCTTCAATTCAAAAACGTGGTACCTTTAAAACAAAAGTGGTACTTTCGTAAAAGGAACTTATTTTTGCAATTGAAAATAGTATTAAACCCCACACCATTAATTAAGTTGCACATTAGATCTATAAACTGCTGTTGAAAAATTTATAAACCTTCTTATTAAATAGAATAGCCTAACATGCATGTATTTATTAAATAGAACAACCAAAATCCATTACTTTTCATTAAATCAAAACCATCAAGTGAAGTGCCATGTCTACAAAATACTTTAAGTCACCACGAATGTCAAAAAAGTTATGATCCATCCAATCTAATAAAGTCAACAAAAAATAAAAAACTAAATCACTAAATTTAAAGGAAGCAATCATCTTTTGCAAAATAAGAATACAATTATTAAGTTTGAACATTTATTAGCCCCTACTCGTCCATACAAAGTCTTGATTGCAATATTAGCCCACACTCATCCATACAAAGTCTTGATGGCAAGAATCGATCCTCCAATCACACTATCAGAAAAAAAAAAAAAAAAAAAGGTTATTACATTTAATTGTATCACATTAACAAAAAATTTAACCAACCTTAAAGAAATAAGCGAAACGGAAAAAGTGAAGGAGAGGAACTGAAAACGTAGACAAATTTTCAAACTCTTAAACAAAATGAAAAAATATAATTAAATGCATAAGATGAGGCATTCTAGAATTTCTAGACTGGGGCATTCCAAAATTTCAATAACACATCAGTATAATTATAATTGTATGTAAAGAAAAATATAATTCTAGACTGGGGCATTCCAGAATCTCAATAACACATTAATCTCTTTAAGTTATAATGTATAAGATATATGTTTGAATTCATGATAATCATTCTATTCTTATCATACAATTAATATATATATATATATATATATATATATATATATATATATATATAAGTAGCATCCTACAATTAATTGGGACCCAGATCTATATCAAAATTCTAAATGGTCTTCATGTATAAGAGGTCTAGAGACCAAATTGTCTCCCTGTTATCATTGAAAAATTCTAAAGATTTAATTATAACCCAGATCCATATCAAACATGATCTTTGGATATCATAATTTTTTTAACAATTGCATTATTGAAATAGTTATTCAAAAGTCCCAAACAGCCTTGCCGATTAAAATGGTGCGAAAAAAAAAAATCTACCATACCAACTATTTAGATGTAGTATATGATAATTAAGAAATATTTGTGTTATTTATAGCGCTAATGGAGCTGTTTATGGATCTAATGTGCAACTTAATTAGTGGTGTGGGGTTTAATAACATTTTCAATTGTAAAAATAAGTTCCTTTTACGAATATACCACTTTTGTTCTAAAGGTACCACGTTTTTGAACTGAAGGTACCACTTTTTGGCCTCCAGGTACCATGTTTTCTAAATACTCGCTTAGCTGGCTTGGAGAATATTTTGTATTATTCATGGCGCTAATGGAGCTGTTTATGGATGCAATGTGCAACTTAATTAGTGGTGTGGGGTTTAATGCCATTTTCAATTGCAAAAATAAGTCCCTTTTACGAAGGTACCACTTTTATTCTAAAGGTACCACGTTTTTTAACTGAAGGTATCACTTTTTGGCCTCCAGGTACCATGTTTTCTAAACAAGGGTAATAAGGTAAATGCATTGGAATAGGAAAAAGGGCATTTTAGGCAACAAAAATTTTAAACAGTAAAACTTCATGTGCCATGTCATTAGTTAGGTCAAACCCATTTTTGTGAAAATATAAGACTTTGACTTCATCCATGAGTAAATATAGCTCCCTAACTCCATTTATATGTAAAAATCCCTTTATTTTATGCATAACTTACTTAAAGAATAACTTTTAGAAATTCTAAAATTTTGCCAAATAGCACTAAGAAATTGTTACATTTCACTAGAAACCGGTAATACAACACGTAGCCTACAACGACAAATAAAAGAACTTAGATCTAGAATTATTCTTATGCAGAATATTCTTTCTTAAAAGGTCTAGGGTTATTTTTAACATAAGGTTTCTTATTACGATAGTTTTTATATGTTTTACTTTTTTGCAAATTATATTTCCTAGGTTTGTTTTGTTTATAGGTTTTATGGGGCATGCAACCATATTGTGGCGGAAAGTCGGATTGTCTACATGCAAAATATAATTACTTCTTAATCTGTTTAGACTCTTTTCTTAATTTGCATTCTGCTTTTAACATAATATAAACATGATTTACTCTATCTCCTATGGTTAACCTTTCTCTTCTAGGATTTTCTAACCACTTTTTTCATATTTTAGTTCATATACTTCCGGGTAATTTCTGAAGATATCTATCTAGTAAAGTTATGTCTCTGGTTTTTCTTGTGACGGCAAAATATTTGAAAAACTTATTTGTGTAGTCTTTTATATATCTAAAGTCACAAATCTGTAATAGTTCTAAATTTCGTAAAGCTTCGTTTTGCTATACTTGGGTTTCTTCCAATTGTCTATCTTCTCCTATTAAAACTTTTTTTATTAAGCCAGTAAACATCTGAATTGTAAAAGTATCCTTTAAAATGGCATAATCATTAGCATAACTAATTTTGTAGGACTGTCACCAGTCATAAATTGTTCCTCTAAGTAGGGTTTCGCAATAAGTTAGGGTTTGTGTTCTGTCATCATATTTAGTTAGAATACATGTTTGAATACAGTCTTGTTCCCAATTTTCAATTACTCTTGCCCAATCTTGTGGATCGTGTCTTGATATGTCAAAAATAGTTCATGTGTCATATGCTGGAATGTTTTCATACCTTCTACAATTTAGTATCCAGGTAGACATATATGGTATATTTCTATTTTCTACATACGTTTATTGTGAGAGTTGTAATCTTTGTCCGGTACTATAGTCATCATTTATGTTAGTACTACTAGCGTTATGCATTTCTTGGTCCACTGATTCTATAGGTTGAGCATGAGAGGCTGATCCTTCTGGTTCTTTTCCTTCTCTATGTTCTACTACATTTAATTATTCTTTTAATGTGTTTAACTCATACGTTCTATAAAATGATTCAAATCCTACGTTTAAAATATTTATCTTAATATCATCGTTATTTCCTTGTCCTGGATAAATACTTTCTATAAGTTGATATTTAGGTTCTGGATACTTGTTTTGCAAGGCTTCTAATTCCAAATTGTCAAAATCGTACATTATTTTATCTATAATTTCATCTTCTAGTCTATCATAAAGGACATTTATTTATTCGGGAGATTCTATTTCTACTAAAGTAGTTAATAATTCTTCTTCGATATCGTCTGTTAAATTATTTTGTCTTTTATAGTTACTAAACCTTATACTAACTTCTCCACTATGTTTTACATATATCATATTGTTTTCGGAAACTTTTTGGTTGTTTTAGTAAGATTTAGCAATTCCCATTATGTTCCTTCGTGGGTTATACTACTTACTTTTCTAGCCTCTATCATCTGGACATATTTGCTACTAAAAGGTTTAACTATTTATCTAAATTGAGCTTTAAATTTTAAATTATATTGATTAACTATTTTTTCTATAAATAAAGTATTAATTAATAAGTTTTCATACTGTCCTGTGCCGCATCTGCAATCTCAAGCATTGATTTACATCTCAGATTTCTCTATAAAAGGAGGCCTTCGGCTCAAGAGAGGATCATCGAGTTTAGAGCAATCAAGTTTAGAGCCATCAAGCATTCCAGCCTTCAGTTCCTAGTGTGTTTACTTTTGTGATTTCTTTTAGTGTGTTTCCTTTTTGTAAAATATTATGTGAGAGAGTATTCATGTATAAACAGTGTGTATCCATGTATATATTTCTCATGAAAGAAATTATCCAGTTTGCTTCTGTTCAAAGATTCATTTTCCTTATTTAGTATTTTCAGTACCTTCGAGCAAAAGACTTCGGTCGACAAAAGATCAAATATATAGATTTTATTTAGTCAGACAGTGTAGATCCTATAATTTTATTTAATCCAACCAATACAAGCAGCCTTAGTTTTTATTTAGCAATTTCTTCTGTGAATTGACTCGAACTGTTGGCTTATTGGCCCGTTCATGCTGGTGTTCAGGTGTTTTTACAAGGCATTATCAGGTTCGGCAGTAATTTATGTGATTTAATTGTTAATTTTATTTCTAGGTTATTTGCATGCTTCTATCTGGTTGGCTTGAATTTAATTTTGGTATCGAGCCTATACTATTTCGTTAAATTTAATTTAAAGTCCATATTAATTTATTGTGAAAAACTTAAAAATATTT